AAGGGAAGGACAAGGGGGGGCACGGACGAAACCAAGGTCAAAGCGACTAACAGCCCTACATTCGTGTCTCTATAACCAAAGTGGGGCAGCCGCGGGACATCCTGAAAGGCAATTAACCTAGACTGTTGCAGCAACCTAAACCATGCATGCAACACAGATGCTGCCTGCACCCGATCAACAGTATTATCGGACTGGGTGAACTGGAGAACCAGCAAGGAACACCACTCGCAGGAACCTGGGTCAAAGATGTCATTGACCCAACAGGAATCATGGCGGAGGCAAAGACGGTGATTGTCATCCTGAGACAATGGGACAGAGCAACCCTCAAACTCGCATAAAGCAAGGTGGGACTTGGAGGACTCCTCCATCGGTCCAAGGAGCCCCAATGGGGGGTTCCCAGGGCCCTTAGGCTGACTGCTAAGGGAAGCCCAGGCAAGGTACTGCTAACCAGTTATCCCAGAACTACCAAGCAATCAAATTAAAAGCTGAACCCCTGCGCTGTGTGTAATCACAGGGGCCTAGAGGAGGAGCACCAATATACAAGTGGACCTATAACCACACAAGGCAGACCCGTACCAGGCAAACAAAACAAAAAGAAAAGAAAAACCCCGCAAAAACACATCTGCAGGGGAACAGAACCGGCCGCTATGCATATATCAGACAGCTGCACAGTACCTTGCGCCAAAGCCAGAGACGATACCTCCTCCTACCCAAGGTCAAACAGGAATAAAAACAACCCCAGCTGACCCCAAGGGCGGGCAATCACCGAGCAGCAAAAGAACCACGCGGAGGTAGTCTTCTGAACGGCTTATGGAAGATAACCCTAAACTGCAAGGGTAGTACCTACAGGACACCTAGGGAAGGTGGCCCTAGGTGCATGCAGCCCCAGTACTCTTGTTACTCCTGGCTCACACACCACCATACAGTATACCACCACCACTATGGACAGCACTGCTAAAAAGGATGCAGCCAGAGTCTATTGACCGCCACCAAACACAACAGCCTCTGAACTGAGGTTGGGTAGCCAGTGCGAGGGGGGTCGTTGCGCAGACAAGGGCACAGTGGCTGTGGTGACGTCATGTTTGTTTGCGCGTTTTCGATTGGGGAGTTCTGCTTGCTAGTTCGGCTTTCGGTTTGCAATTTTTAACCAGCTGTAGTTTGTTTTGGAATTCCTACATTTCTGGGTGCCTGACCTGGTAGATGGCAGACAGACTGCTTCCAATTAAACAGGGGGTGTCTATAGGCCATTGCTCCTCATGCCTCTCTGAGGTGGCCAGGTTTCGGGGCTGGACCCCAGTAGGCCTAGAACTCCATCGATTGACTGTTGTCATGGTCTAATATATACACATCAGCCCGGTATAGCTCTGGGGAGCTGAAGGGACTCTCCATAGAAAAAATATTTTTTTAACATTTTCAAATAACATAGAGCAGATGTTCAGATGTTTATCAGATACTAAAATCATTCTATGTTCACCAAACTGTTTACCTCTTGCTGTGCTGTGGAAATACAGTGAAATTCGAATAACGAATTTAATCTGTTCCATGTTCGTCATGTGAAACGGACGTCATACAAAACAAATGTCCCCATTTAACCACTGTGATGTACTGTGTTTATTGTGAAATTCCCCCAGTGTGCATGACATCAAATGTTCACAAAAAATCATTTTTCTTTGTAAAATGATAAATTACCTTCCCTGAACCTTCCCTATATAAAAATAATTTTCAAATTCCACTTACTTTGGCTGTGAGGACGTGGACAAGGTGCGCTGTGATGTCATCAGGGGCTGGTCGCCCGTGTGTGAAGCTCCTAGACACAGTCGCGCAGGCCATTCAAGCACCACGTGTTGCCACAAATATTTTTTCAAATATTTTTTCTATGTATTTCCAATGCGGTTTTATTTGATTCTTTTGTCATATATGATGCATATTTGTGACCTTTACAATATGTATACTTGTTCATAATTTTCCATGCAACTGTGATACATGTGTCAGTAATGTGTCCACAATAAATGTTTATTGTCACAATATTACGTGGTAAAAATACACTAAAATTACAATATGTACAGTTTCACATACCATTTACACAGTAACACACTGTATTACACTCAGTACTTTGGAGGTGCGTAATAATCAACGTAGTAGTCCATGGTACACAGCGCGATTTTGCTCTCGTTGCACCAGCTACAGATAGATTTTCGCTTCCTATTTCATCGTTCTATGTGCTTGCAAATAACACACTCGCGTGCACCCTTGGCTTTAGTACTTGTAGGTGCTATGTAGCCAAGCTTGTAAAGCATAAGGTAGTATTGAAACGATTATAGGAAAAGCTCAAATTGTAAGGTAGTCTTGAAAAGATCGCTTTGTAAGGTCCCACACAGGAAGAGAATCAGCTAGCCTCAAAGAGTGTCCATCAGTCAGGAAGAGATTCAGGTATTCTTGAAAATATCTATGGAAAACACCACCATGGAAGCTGCTAACACTGTTCATCTATGCTACTTGTATCGGATGCATCATCACTGAATGCAGAAAACGATTCATCTATGTATCATCTATATAAATTGGAGATGGCAAGGGTGGGGCTCAGAGCTACAACTGGATACGCTCACTGTATCATCCTCATAGGTGCTGTATCACTTGCATCCGACCGTTGTGTTAAGTATTTATTGCGCATAGCTTCACCAATATTATGACCCTTATGTTCTTCAAATAATAAGGTCCGAATTTCACTGACTGAGCACAATCTTTCAACACCGTGTCGGACAGGTGTTTAGGAGCCAGAGGCACGTGTGCCACAAATGGTTGCTCATGCAGTACTAACCCAGCCAGCAGCCCCAGTCTTTCACATTCGTTATAGCAAAAGGTTCGTTCAGTGTTTGTCAGGTAGGCTGCTCCATTATGATGATCTTTCTTTGTTTCAAATGTGTTCCATTTGTTTTGTATTTGTCACTTACGTCTCAATAATGGAGCAGCCTACCCGCAAACCCTGAACGAACCTTTATGGCATTTGTCAATTTTTCAAATTGTTTCAACAGTTCTTTTATTTTTTTTATTTTTTATTTAAGAAACATGGAGCAGCCTACCTGCTGACCACTGAACGAACCTTTTGCTATAAGACAAATGACAAATAAATATTGAACACATTTGAAGAAAAGAAAATGTCATAATGGTTTTTCCGATTATGTAAGGTAGGCTGCTCCATTATCGAGACGTAAATGACAAATACAAAACAAATGGAACACATTTGAAACAAAGAAAGATTGTTATAATGGAGCAGCCTACCTGCCGAACACCGAACGAACCTTTTTGACATTTGTTGTATATCAGAAATTTCATTTCTTTTTTTCTACAAAAACGTCAATGCTTTGCAACATCTCAGCAGTCACCCTTTTATATCCCAGCATCATTACATCATTAGGATCTTTAAACAAGAACAACATAATTTATGTGTATCGTCGGAGGCATCTGAAATGTGCAAGCAGCACGACCCCACCATGTGGTGTTGACGTTACTCAAACGAGCATTCGTCATGCAGGACAATTTGACGCCGATCGGGCCGTTCGTTACCCAAAATATTCACCTTTTGGGGCGATCGTTATGCGAGGTACCACTGTACTACATTTATAACATGTTGATCTAAATATCTATTGTCTGGCAGCAGCGTTAAATATTTCATTTTGCTGAAATTTAGTGTTTGGTTTTTGTACAACCTAACACAATGAGAGGGCATGCTAGTCAAAATTAAAGATAATTTTTTTTTTTTGGGGGGGGGATGCTGTCTACTGTACACATTGCCATTACAGTATAATTGTTTTGTCCGAGAACATGACATTACCAAACAAAATAGGCTTATAATTATTTTTCTTATGTTGTAACCCAATTCAGATCAAGTTCTTGAAATTTAATCCCAGCTTACTGTAAACAAATTTAACTCTTCAACAGTGGAAATTTTGAAAACTATCAAATACAAAACATAACAATTGGATAAAAATTAAAATTGAAGTAAACTACAGTAATGTGAACTTTTAAAGATAAAATATTGAAGACCTAAACCACTTGTACATATATCTATTGAAAAACATCAAATGCATTGTTCAATGGCAGTAAATGTGACAAGTGTGATTAGTCTTCATAACAAATCTTGGCAGTAGTTCTTTGGTTCTCTCCAATGTGATTTTTTAAACCAATATAAATAGCATAAATTCCAATGCAAAAACTATAAAAAAAATTGTCACAGTACACTATATACATTATGTGAATAAATTATGGTTAACATGATAAAGAATAAATGTTTATTACAAAAATACACAGATCAATGATCAAGACCATTATTTAAGAATATTTAACACCAAAATTGGTTCTATATTGATAACACTAACAGTAAAAGGTAAATAATTAGGAGCATGTATAAAAGACAGGTAACTGGCTAGAGCAGGATCCATTGTTGAAGAATAGGTCACCTCTCCACTAGTCTGAGCTTTATATTCTTAACATACACACAAAAATAATTCAGTTGCTAATTATTATTTCTTATAAAATTAACCCCTAAGACACATTACTTCCTTAACTTTAGGGAAAGAATTTACATAAGAGCTTTATAATTATGATGCCCTTATGGTTACCTATGCAACTTTTACTCTTTAAACATCACAAATTTCAGATCATAATTCATTAAATTCAGATCACTTTTGGCATAAAAGACTGGCACTAGGAAGGTTATAATATTTTGCAACTCAAAAGTGTGTCACCTCATATTTGAATTAAAAAATTTCAATTACAGTACAATTTAAAATCGAGTCATTACTTTGCCATACCGTGCCCCAGTCTAAATGCCAAGTGAAAACGAAGTTAACGAGGAAGCTTAAACATTCGAAAATTCATCTATATAGAGAATTTTATGTATGGTGGTTGTGGCTGAATACACACACACATTATGGTAACAACATACCTGTAAAATGTACTTCAATGTCCAGTTTCTTCAACTAAACAGTAGAAGTCAGAAGTAAACAGTGATATTTGCTAGTAATACATCAAAATATGAAAGGCATTGTGATGGAGAGGCTTCACTGTTCCCAGTATGAAACACAATCAAATGATAAGTTAGATTCTCTTGCAGTAATGTGCCTCACTGTAGATTTGACACTTCCTGCAGTGAAACGTTTTCTGCATATAATATACTGCATATTCAATACATTGTCTAAGCTGAGCATTGTCTGAATATTACAAGATTAAGGAATAAAAGAGTAATTCAAGAGCAAAGAATTAGTGTGGAATGTAATTCTTTTGGGACATTGAGGTGCCCTATTAGAACCACCCTACAATTAAAAGCTACTAGTTTTCTAGCACAAAGCTCAAATGTGGTAGAAATTTATTGAGTAGAAATAAAGACATTGGATATGGAAAGAGGCATCATATGTATGAGATGAATGTGATAAAAATTTGAGAAAGGAGCAAGACTATACTACAAGAAATTACTTTTCTGAATGGAGAAAAAGGTGATAAAACTGTCATTATTATTATAAAAAGTCTTACAAAAACAGCATTGAATGTAATGAAACGCCAGTTTCTGAGTGAACCCTGGAAGCTCCCTAAGGCTATCCCACTGATATAGTGCTATATTGGTTGGGGTCATCAGAGTTCTTGTTGCCTATTGCAGACCAGAACCAGAATCTGGCCCCTTCAAAGAGGTGCAGAGAGCAATAGACTATGAGTACTTTACATTTAAAGTATGGCATACTTTGCCATCTACTAGGGAAGGCACCCAGAAAGGAATGCAAATTAAAACAGACCAGTCTAGTTGAAAATTGAGAGCTACAGCCTCAAAATAGCAAAAGAATTCTCCCAGAAAAAAAATAAAAACACGCAACACATCATCCAACTATCCAACTAGATGATGTTGGATGATGCGGGTGGGGGGGGGTGATGAGCCTCCCCCTTCCCGCCGCAGGGGCTCCCCGTAGGAAGAGAGAGAGCTGGCCTGGGGAGCCGGCAACCCACTCATTCAGTTTTGGAATGATGAAAGCTACTGACCTAGGGAAGGGGAGGTTTCAGAGCCTCCAGGGCTCACCCAGAAACTGGAATTTGCTTATATTCAATGCTGGTTTTCTGTGGGAAGCCCTTTCGGCTCCCTGAAGCTAACTACCGATACACGGCCGTGACCGGCGCCCAAAGGCTACAAAGCTCCAGAGAACCTGGGACGTTCGCTAGATACGTGGCAGCCAGGCCCCTATTCAACCTCCATATCCTCCCGAACATCGTCCCAAAACATATTACCAAAGACAGTGAAAGAGCAACATACTTCCTAACATCATGGGGCGCAAGGATAGACTGTAGACTGGTTAGACGTAATAACACTGTAGACAACCTGAGAAACATGAGCCCTGGAACAGGGAACCAGGGAAACCAGATCAACCCAGAGCACATCCACCGGCACAGAACCGGTGGCCTGCAGATAGTGGCGTAAAACAGCTACTGGACACAGAACGTGATGCACCCTCGGCTTCAACAACCAAACATCCACAACCAACAGACCCATTCAGAAGCCCGCGTCTCTTTCTTTACCAGAAAAGGAGATGGCTGCAAACGAACAAAGCCCCCGGTGCCAGAGAAGAGCATAAAGCTCCCAAACCCAACCTCCAGAGGTCAAGGCCAACAAAAACAACACGTTTCAAAGACAATCACAAACAAAAGGGGCTATCGCAAACCGAGGAGAAGAAAGAAAAAGAACCTAGTCCAATGACCAAGAAGGTTCTGGTGGTGCACGAGCAGTCCGAAGGTGAAAGAATGCACAAGAAAGCTTATGAAACGGAGCGGAAGTGACATCTACCCCAAACATATGCTGCGGCAGCCCCACCAACGTCACACGATAGAAAACAACAGAATTTCACGAGATGCTGATCTAGAAAAAGCCACGAGAGAAAGGACAAAACAACCGAGTCCAAAACTGACAAAGAATGAAAATGGCAGAAAGACCACAAAGAGACTTCATACTGTCACCGAGATGAAGACCGACACCATCAAAGAAGCCACCAGATCACCATACAAATGGCAATACACAAGCGTCAGAAATGCCAGACGCTTAATGCAGTGAAGTAAGTTGAACCAGCAAGGTACTTCACCGGACCGACCTGCTGAAAGAGCCGGAGCACCGAAAAAACACCCGGGTTTGGACACCGAGCAAGCCGCACCTGAAACCAAGGTTGGGCTGGCCACCATGTGGCCAAAAGAACTCTTCCCCGAAAGGATTCCAGTCAAGCTAGAACCCGGAACAACAGCTGGACCAGGAGAGGAGGCAAAGGAATCCCCCCCCCCCCCTCAACCAGTCCTGCCGAAAAGCATTCTCTGCGAGAGTATCGCAATCAGGGAACGGCGCCACGTACAATGGGAAACACTGAGACCACGCCAACACGAAGAGGCCCACCTCTGGGCACCAGTATGTCCAGCAAAGCCAAAAGAAGGAAGCGGCATTGACCGTCCTCTACGTGGAAAGAGGAATGATGCACGACAGGCCGTCTGCCAGGACACTGGATACTCCCTGAACATGAACGGTGCGGAGAGTTAAACCCCGAGAACTCAGCAAAAGAGCTGTAAACAATTCCACGAATATTTAAGGGGGAACCGGGAACTAAGCTCCACCTACCAGGAGATAGCCTCTGGCTATCTTCCTACCACACCTAAACAGCAGCTCGTTTGATGGAAACAACACAGCCACCCGTCTGCAATTATCAGCTTAGCAGAGAGCAAGGTCACCTGATACGTCCTGACCTCTACTCAACGTGTGAACAATTAACACTTGAAAATATGTTACTTTTGAAATGCTAAGGCCGACTGCCTAGCGCTACCATTATCCTGTGTCACTTGATTCTCGTTGTATGTGAAATATTAAATAAAACCATTTATAGTGTTACAGAGCTACCTGAAGTAACCAGCCCCAAAGAGCCATGGACTGAAGAGATACCCCCCCCCCTGGTTGAGACTGAACCACAGGGAAGCAGTCCAAATGGAGCCAGATCACCGAGCCCCGAGGAACTCGAATCCTCCGCAGCGCCAACCACACTGCCGCAAACTCCCGCACTGAGTTGTGAGCCCAACACACTGACACCCACCAATGCCCCTGGCTGGACTACAGTGTAGTGAGCAGGGGGGGCTAGTTAGATGATGTGTTGCTTGTTTGTTTGATTTCTGGGGGGAGTTCTTTTGCTATTGTGAGGCTGTAGCTCACAATTTTGAACCAGACAGTGGTCTGTTTTGATTTGCCTACCTTTCTGGGTTTCTTCCCTGGTAGATGGCCAAATATGACATACTCTGCTATGTCATTTTTGTAAAGTGGTCATAGGCCATTGCTCTCTGTGCCTCTCTGAGGGGGGGGGGCAAGATTTTGGCTCTAGATCCCAGTAGGCAACCAGAACTCTTCGACTGATGACCCCAACTAATATAGCACTATATCAGTGGGATAGCTACAAGGAGCCAATGGGGCTCCCCATAGAAATATCTAAGAGGAATTCAAATTTTTTTGCTACACTTCTTGATGATCAGTATACAAATGAAGTTGGATACTTTTTGAAGCCATAATAATGATTTAGCAACTGACTTAAAAGCATTCCTGTCAACACTTCTGGTACAACACATTAGAAATTATATTTAGGCAACAGAAGTTCACCTGACTTTCACCAAGCCACAATTGTTGTATACATATGTGATCGCTCACTAAACTACACTGAAATAAAGTAAAGAATGATCTAATTATAATTATATAAAATACAGAAGAATAATTGGTGAAGGAAAGACAGAACACAATGATTGGACAATTACATTTAAAATCTTGTAAAGCACATTTGTCTATATTGTATACTTCTGGGATAAAAACTGCAATAAAATATATTTGCCTCAACATTTGTAAGATCTTCATAATTTCAAATTCTGAAATTAATGAACCTAATTAATCATTAGGTTCTACACATTTAGAAATGCTAACTTGGCTATGTACCTCATGAAAACTAGCACCTCATTTCATAATCACTTTCAATAAATATTTTATCCATTAACTAGTGGATATGCATATACTGTACTGTATACAAAATAGGTCCTAAAATGAGGCCATAATAAGCCTACATTATGTTTAACAATCACTGTATGAGACAATCATGGATACATCCACTTTTGACACAAATGTGAAAAAAATTATGTACATTATGTTCTAAGTACTTTAAGTAATAATTTATTCCAAAACAGTAATGCACTATGAATGGATTTGTTCTAATTGTGAACATGTCCCACTAGGACCAGAGTTCATGTAACATACATTCCTAGGGTTCAATTCAGTCAAAAGTGCACCAGTTTATTCTCTCTGGGTTTCACCCCGAAGCTTCACCACATTTTGTTATATATGTACATGAACAGTATTTTAATATTTTTGGACATTTCTTGGGTTGATCACAGTTTTTACACAAACGTCCAACTGTTCTTCTATTAACAGAAGCTCTCACTCTTATTAGGTCAAATTTTCAAGAATATTTGCCCATGAAAATAATATTCATCAACTTTCCTTTTACAATTTTTTGTAATGACATCTCCAAATAATACACAAAATTAACAAATAAGTCATACATTGGTGCAAATAACCTAATCATTCACATATTACTGAAGACCATCACAGCTTGAGGTTTGCCTTCTCCATACCCACTGAGTATTGAGTTACAGCTTTGTCATTTGCTCTTTAAAGTACTGCCAATCCATTCTAGCCCTTGGTACAATCTGAAAAGACAGATTGACATTTACAATTAATGACGTTTAGCCTAGTCTAGTCTATGGTCATAAAATTAGCAAATGGACAAGAGCCAGAATTCAATCAATCCTAAAATAAAGTATTTAAACTTTTTTTTAGATCAAATAAACCAAATGGAAACAATATTTTGAAAATAAAGAAAATTACTCGGCCTATTAGGCAAATCGGGCCTTGCATAGTAGGCCGAGAAGTGCGCTCTGGCTACTAGGTACGACATATATATATATTGGTATGAATAAATACATAGTGTGCATATATTTATGCACAAATATATGTATATTTTCAAAGTTATATATAATGAATACCATCTTTGATACAGATACAATTTATTAGAGTGAAAAACTAAATAAATAAAGTGAGAAACATGGAAAATAGGTCAACAAAGTTATTCCCATGCTGCAAATGTCCTAATTGTCACAAAAAAAAAAAATGCAACTTCTCCAGGCAACTATAGCTAAACTACAAGAGATAGAGACTTTGTACTTGGATTTTTGTGCTTCCCGGGTGCAATTAACAATACCAAAAGAACAAATACTGTTTTTGGAACACTATTTTCAGTGCACAGTCAGAATGTCACAATAAATGTGGTGCATCACAGTGGTTAAAGGACACCGTGTTTCACACAAATCGTGTCCCCTGTAGTAATTTATTCTTAATTGCACCAGATATTCAAACATCAATACACTGCGATCACTCATTCCCTTTGGGGATTTTGAAATTGATTTCCATTATGTCTGACTCATTCAGAGTGAATATCAGGTCAAGTCTAGCCGACTCGTCATTACCTCCCATTCTTGTGAGTTTGCTCATGTTATGTATTGAGTAGAAGGGGAAACTGTGTCTTGACTGCAAGTTCATTCTCCAACAAAAAGCCATGCTCATTGGAATCAACAACAAGTAAGTAAGTAATTATCAAAAGAAGGCACCAAACCGGGAAGGCTATGTAGCACCATCAAATACGCAAAATAATCAGAGGGCGCTAAATATCACCAAGGATGCCAATACGAGAACAAAAACGCATAAGGCGAACGATATCAAAAGTATCCGAGTCACCAAGAATTCTATCGAGGGACAGGTGACCGCGAGGGGCAGTCGGAAAGCAAGACACACGCTCGTCCTGGAAGTCAGGACATTCAAGAAGGACATGCACGACCGTTAGAGGGACAATGCAACTAGGACAATAAGGAGCAGGGCGGCGCTCCATCAAGTGACCATGGGTTAAGCGAGTATGGCCAATACGCAACCTCGCCAGAGCTGTTTCCCACCGCCGGTTACGGTGGAAGGAGGACTGCCACGAGGAAACACAACATTTAAGAGTACGTAGCTTGTTACCAGTAACAGACAACCAAGAAGCCTGCCAACGGGTAAGGACTGAGGAATGGATAACCGGGTAAAAGTCGGAATACGGAATGCCTTCATGAGAGATGGGACAAGAGCGGACAGCTTCCTTGGCGGCAGCATCCACACGTTCATTTAAAGACACACCAATATGGCTGGGAACCCAACAAAACTCAACCGACTTAAATTTACTGTGAACGAGAAACAGCCAATGCTGGATCTCGACAACTACTGGATGAACCGGATTAAAGGACCCGAGAGCCATGAGGGCACTACGAGAGTCAACAACAACTACAAAGGAAGACTGACAACGAGAAAGCAGGAGACGAAGAGCATAGAGAATAGCATAAAGTTCCGCTGTAAAGATGCTAGTCTCCGGAGGCAAGCGACACATATAAGTGCGATCAGGAAAAACAACAGAGTAGCCAACACCGTCCGCTGACTTAGACCCATCGGTGAAGACAGAAACGGAGCGGGAGTGAGAAGAAAAGTGCTCGAGGAAAAGGCGTTTTAGAACCGTAGGAGGGGTAAAAGCTTTAGTGATACGGGTCAAGGATGTACAAAACCGCGGAAGAGGGACCCTCCACGGGGGCAAAGAAGGAACAACACGAGGAGAAACATCAGAAATACGAACGGAAAGAGAATCCTGCAGGCGAGATAACCGGACAGAAAGAGGGAGGTGGTGAAGAGGAACAGGAACCGCAGGAGGGGTAAAAGTTAAAGCACGACAGAGGCGAGAGGAAGGATGTTGCAAGGACCGCGCAAGATAGCGAAGACAGTAGCGATCACGGCGGTCCTGGAGAGACAGGAAGCCAGTGTCAACATACAAGCTAAGGATGGGAGTCGAACGAAAGGCACCAGAACTGAGGCGCAACCCAGTATGGTGCAAAGCATCAAGACGGCGAAGAGTAGAAGGAGAAGCAGACGAGTAAGCAGGGCAACCATAATCGAGCTTAGACAGGACGAGAGAGGAATGTAAAGCAAGGAGAGTGCGCCTATCTGCCCCCAAGAAGTATGGGACAAGACCCGAAGGAGGGTAAGGGCCTTAGAGCACTCAACACGGAGGTAAGAGATATGGGGAGACCAAGACAAACGAGTGTCAAGGAATAACCCCAAAAGCTTCGCGGAATCTTTGTATTCAAGGGGATGACCATAAAGTGACAAAGAGGGACGAAGAACAACCCGTTTCCGCGTAAAAGTCATGGCACAAGTCTTAGAAGTAGAGAACTTGAAGCCATGATCTGTGGCCCAAGACGACACGGCATCAATTGCAAGTTGAAGCCGGCGCTGAAGGAGAGGCGAATCATCACCCTGACAACAAAGGGTAAGATCATCGACATAGAGAGCGGAGAAGACACCAGAAGGAAGAGAGGAAAGAAGACCATTGAGGGAACCAGAAAAAAAGAGTAGTGCTCAGAACACTACCCTGGGGCACACCTTCGTATTGCTGAAAAGAGGGAGAGAGAGCGGTACCAAGGCGCACCCGAAAGGAACGACGAGAGAGGAAGCTGCGTAGAAAGAGAGGGAGATGACCACGAAGGCCAAAAGAATGAAGTTGAGATAGGATATGATAACGCCAAGTGGTGTTGTAAGCCTTTTCCAGGTCAAAAAGGACGGCAACAACGGAGGTCTTCGCAGCAAAAGCAGTACGAATATAGACCTCCAAGTTCACCAGGACATCTGTCGTGCTGCGGCACTTGCGGAAACCAAATTGAGAAGGGGAGAGGAGGTGATGGTGTTCCAGGAACCACATCAGACGAACGTTAACCATACGTTCAAAGAGTTTGCAGACACAACTTGTGAGAGCAATAGGGCGAAAGTCCTTAGGGGAAGTACCCAGAGACCCCGGTTTGCGAACAGGGAGGACAACGGCATCGAGCCAGTCCTCAGGGACTGACGACGACTCCCAGATCCGATTATACAGACTCAGTAAATACCGAGACGTGCTCGGAGGGAGATGGCGAAGCATCTCATAATGAATACCATCGGAGCCCGCCGCCGTAGAACCGCAGAGGGCCAGGGCAGAACGAAGTTCAGAGAGAGAGAAGGGATCATTATAGGGAAGCTGAAGATGAGTGCAGAAATCTAAAGGACGAGACTCAAGGACAGGTTTACGAAGAAGGAAAGATTGGGGAAGATGAAGACCAGAGCTAACAGAAGAAAAGTGGGAACCCAGTTCGGAAGCGACCTGCAACGGGTCCGCCACAAGAGTATCATGGAGGTGAAGGACCGGTGAAACATCGGGAACGAACTTACCCGCTATCTTGCGGATACGCTTCCAGATCTGGGCCAGAGGGGTTTCGGACGTAATTGTTGAGACATAAGATGCCCAACATTCACGTTTAGCCGTACGGATGGCCCTACGGGCCACCGCACTCGCTTTCCGAAAGAAAAGAAAAGAATTGGTCGTCTGCCTACAGCGTGCCTCTTCCAGGCTGCACGCTTACAGCGGACAGCCCGAGCACAGTCCGCATTCCACCAGGGAACGCACTTCCGTGGACCCCGAGAGGAAGAGCGAGGAATAGAGCGGAGGGCAGCGTTGAAGACAGTGTCATGAAAAAGGAGGAGAGCGCGAGAGAGGGGCAGAAGGGAGAGGTCAGAGAGAGCAGCACTGAGGGTAAATAGGGTCCAGTCTGCCTTAGCAAACTGCCACCTAGGGAAAGAGAGGGAAGGGCGAAAAGAGAAAAAGGAAACAAGGATGGGGAAATGATCACTTCCATGGAGGTCATCAAGAACCTGCCACGTGAAATCTAAGTAAAGAGAAGAAGAGCAGAGAGAAAGATCAAGACAAGAAAGGGTGCGAGTCTGAGAGTCCAAATGAGTGGGCTCACCAGAATTCAGAAGAGACAGGGAAGAAGAGAGGAGAAACGGCTCAAGGAGGCGACCCCGGGTATTCGTCAGAACGTCACCCCAAAGAGAATGACGACAATTGAAGTCACCCAGCAGGAGCACAGGCTCCGGCAAGGAGTCTAGGAGGTGTTTCAAATCAGGAAGAGAGAGCGGGACACTCGGAGGGAGATAAATGGAACAAACTGTGTACCATTTCCCCACAAAGATACGAGCAGCAGAACAATGGAGAGGCGAAGGAAAAAGCAAAGGAACAAAGGGAACATCAGCACGAATCAAGAGAGCAGAAGAATTAGAAGCCCCAGCAATGGCTGGGGGGGGGGGGAGAGAAAGGAATAGCCACGAAAACGACCAGGACGAGCACCAAGCATTGGCTCCTGGAGACAGACACAAAGGGGCGAAAACCGCGAAATCAGAAGTTGGAGTTCGAGGAAATTGGCGTAATAACCTCGAACGTTCCATTGAAGAATGGACAACGACGAGAAGAGAAAGGACAAAAACAGAGAACAAGGAAGAAACAAAGGCGAAAGAGCAACAGAGCACGTTAAAGAATATCAGGGTCGGGATCAGGGTCAGCAAAGTCAGGGTTAGGGGGCATGGGTAAACTGAGCAAAGACGGAGGGAAGGAAACGGGAGAACAGATAAGAGGTGGGCGGGCGGGGTCCGGAGGAGGAGGAGGAGGAGGAGGAGACAACGGAGAGGAGCAGTCAAGGACAGCAGCAGGAAGAGGGGGAGTAGAAAGAGGGGGAGCGCACCTCAGCAAGAGCAGCAACCGAAAGGGAAGCAGGGGCCAAAGAAACCTCCATAGCAAGAACAGGGGGCGCAATCACTGAAACGGGAGGGGAAGGAGCAACAGAGCCAGAAGTAGGAGCTGAGGAAGAAAGCGAAGCCTTCTTACCCGCCGGGGAAGAGGAAGGAGAGGAGCCAGGCTTACGCTTCTGACTTAAAGAGACCGGTGTCCCAGCAACTACGTACCGGGCAACGGATTCCAGTGTCTCAACAGGAGAAGCCGAACGAGAGCACACACGACGGCCGTTAGGAGAGCGATGGACATCCGCCCGCACCGACAGGCGGTGGGGAGAGCCGATAGATGGAGGAAGAGGATGGGAAGGAGGATCGGAGGGGGACGAGGAAGAAGACACAGGAGACACGACAGACCGGGTAGAAGGAAGGGGAACCCCAGACAGAGGACCAGGAGGAGGATCCTTCGGGAGAGAACCCAAAGGAACAAAGGAGGGGGCAGTGGGCGCATCAGGGTCCAAGGCCCGGAAACGGTTGTGAGTCTGAGGAAGGCGGGAAGGACGAGGAGAGGAAGAGCACAACACGCGAGCATAAGAGATATTAGCAAAAGGCGGGAGCCGGCGAACCTGGCGCCTCGCCTCAGGAAAAGATAAACGCTCCCGGTGCTTCAAGTTGAGGACGGCTGCCTCAAGCTTGTAATGGACACACGCACGGGAGAAGGTAGGATGGGCCTCACCGCAGTTAAGGCAACGAGCCTGGGGAGAAGTGCACTCCGACTTAGAGTGACCTTCACTCCCACACAAAGGACAGAGAGACAGTCCCAGAGCAGCGGAGGGCACCATGCCCAAACCTCCAGCACTTGTTACAAAGTCGAGGAGAAGGAATATACTCCTGGACAGAGCACCTAGCACCAGCAAGAATGACAGAGGATGGAAGGGTCCTACCATCAAAGGTGATCTTCACAACGCGAAGGGGTTGACGGCGACGACCACGAGGGGGACGAGTAAACGAGTCAACCTGGAGGACAGAATGGCCTTGGGCATCAAGGATATGCCGAATATCATCGTGGCAATCCTGCAGATTCCGAACACCGGTTGCAACATGGGGTGGGAGGAGAATAGTGCCAACACTGGCATTCATCTGAACGTTCTTGGAGACCCGAACAGGGATCTCGCCAAGGCAAGAGAAGGCAGCCAAGTGGGAAGCCGCATCCTGAGAAGGAGCAGCAACGACACGTGTACCGAGACGAGTGGGGTTGAAAGTAATGGAGGCATCCACGGAATTTACAAGATGCCGATGGAGGGAGAAATCGTCAGGAGGCGCAGAATCAAGAGGGAGGAGATCAAAGTATTTGGCCCATGAAGCAGGACCAAACAAGGCCTGATACGCATCAGCACGAGAAGGAATCGAGCGAGTGCGGTTGGGGCGCGAACGGCGTTGAGAACCCCTAGAGAGAGAGGGGTCAAAAGGCGCAGTAGTCACAACGGAAGACTTAGCCACACCAGGGGACGAAGTGGTCACCACCGGGGGCTGGAGGCTCGACCCAACCACAGAGGAGGGAGGGGAGCTGGGGGAAGAAGTCAGGACGGTCAAAGGAGGAGCAAGGTCGGGGCCCAACGCAGCGGGAGCTACAGAGCCTGGTCTTCCAATACAGGCCGACTCGGGGGCTTGGTCGCCCACCCCACAAGCCTGAGAGGGTACAACGGAAACATTCAACGACATAGAGACGAAAAGTGACAAATTCATCCACGAATGTGCCCCCATACCCACCATGGAGCCACAATTAGAGGCAGGACACCCAACAGGAAGCTATCGCCGATCATGCCGGGGCCTCCTAGGGGTGCGTCGTGAGTATACGCCCCACAAACGCCACCTTAAGAACCGTCAGTCCGTCGAGATCGGGTTCAGCGACGAAAGGGGGATTGACAATAAAAGGTTCCCCTCGCTCGAGACGTTGGATACTACAGTTCTACGGGTGCAAGAGTATGCCTCCTCAAGCACCCGGGCGTCAAAATAGAAGAAGTCCAAAGAAATAATCCAAAACAAGCAAAAGGTCGGCAGGAAACGACAAGCAGATAGGAGAAGAGGGGGGAGAAAAACGAAACATAAGGAAAAGGAAAAGCGATCCGGCACAATTGGAGAAGACAGCAGCAGGAGTGCAAGGCCAGAAAAGGACAGAGGACTGCCCAACGGAGCATCACACTCCGGCAGCCGTCCACCAAGCCCCCTCACGACGCCAACGGGCCGGATGGAGAGGGGGGAATCAACAACAAGCATCAACATACAATAAAATACAAGGTAAATGAAAACAAGACTATCTTAATACCAAAACCTAAGTAATATTTACTATTACAATTCACCCTCAATCCTAACACCTGACATGTTGACTTAAAAAGTTTCTTGTTGCCACATCCAATAGTTCAGCTCTTCGTGTTTATGCCCCTTGCAGTTCTTTGTTCTACCAATCTATCTTTTCATCACCGACTTTTACCATGATTAGAAGTCGGGATCAATTCCAACATGCGACAGAGGCTGTCCTTTCTATGCCATGGTAATAATTGCCCTGGTTTACCTTTCTCTCAGGATACCTATTACACTTCTGATTTTTTTTACGTGGTAATTTTGCACACCCTACCATGCCTCCTGGTATCATGTACAATTTAGTTATTTCTGTATCATACACCTATCTGGGTCTTGTCATTTATTTGAGGGTTATATATCACTACTACTACTACTATTACTAATGACTTTTATTTTTTTATTACTTTCAATGTATTTCATTTATAAAATGTTGATATGTTTTATTTTTATGTTAATGTATAACTGTTAAATTGCCAATATTTGCAAGTACAGTACCAAGTTGTGTATGGGAGAAAATATCAATTTGTAAAGTAGCTTATCTGTGCTTTTGTGAGCCTCACCTCACCTAGCTTATCTGTGCTTCTGTGAGCCTCACCTCACCCTCCACCAGTCTGGTGGAGGGCGAGACTCGGAGGACTTGAGTCTGGTCGAAGGTGTGTTGGGATGCATTCATGAGGCAGCCACCTCCATAGAGAGGTGTTTATCTCAGTTTTCTCTCAGTGACAAAGAAAACTGTCAGTTGGTGAGTGACAGAGTTAACCTGCTCTGTGTGTTGCCCTCTCGTGTGTTTTTAAATAAATGTAGTGCACACACACTTAGCTGGTTTGTTTGAATCCCTCAATTCAAAATAGTTGTGTGTAGTTCACTGGGAGTTAACTTTTGTATTGGAAGATGTGCCATTTTATATTTTAACCCAGTGTGTATTCCCTGACTTAAAATTTTGTATATTAACTGTAAGAAGGCTTTTTACTGACTTCTTACACTGTGAGGAATGCTTTTTGGATCGTTATGCATTGCTATGCAAAATGTAAGTGAGAGGTGGTGTAGCAAATGTAACTAACAGTTAATTACAGACTAAATAAAAAATCAAGATTAGGCAAAATATTCAGCAATATTAGAGAAAATTTTAAATGTAAATAGCAAATAAGTACAGTACAGGTATATATTTGGGATGAGATGAACTCTGTAAATTGTGGTCATAATCTGGTGAAAAGGGTTGGAAGATATTACATGGTTCAGTGAAAATGTTAGAAACTATTGAGAACAGGAGAGATTCATGGGAAATGTTGTTGCAGAAAGATGTACCAAGTGCTGAAATATAATAATTGTAAATAGATTTTAATGAAAGTGGTTCGGAGACTAAGAAAATGGTAAATAATTAGTAGTTCAGAGAAAATTTAGTAAGCTGTATGTAAGAAATTAGTTAACAGAAAGGTTAAAAGATAAATGAGGTGGAGGAAACTGGAAGGTAAATATTGAAAGGATGCAGAGGGATTTTGTTCTTAAAAAGGAAAAAGTTCATAATATAGAAGAGCTATAGATTAGGGCTATCCTTGCATTCCTGCCATTTACTGGCTTACTCCAGCTATTTACTAAAAAATAATGAACACATTCATTTGGATTACCCAAAGAATCAGGTTAGTAGAATTTGGATTACTGAGTTCTTACAGTAATGTACTGTAAATAAAAAGAGCACAAACACTTAACATAATACTCACCCTTCCCCAGTTAGTGCACAACATCCCTGAATTTGCCATCTATGTTTTTTTATAGATGTTAAATTTAACAAACGTGATATCTCTGCCGCACTCATTGAGCCCTTAATATCCTGTTTATTTGCAAATATGAGCACAGCTGCACGTGAAAGTTCTTCATGAGCAAGCATCTTGTACAATTCTTCTCGAGTAATGCTGAGACGCTCACGATCTGTAGAGTCTATTACCAAGATGACGAACTGCAAAATTGTAAGAATGAATTAGATCCATCCAATGTGAGTATGATTGAAAGACTGAACACTGTAATGATAAGCATGTGTGTGTTATTCCAGGAATATGATTGATTTGGAGAGAGAAGAAGAAGAAGAAGAAGAAGAAGAAGAAGAAGAAGAGAAGAAGAGGAGGAGAAGAAGAAGAGAAGAAGAACAGAACAACAATAGAGAGAAGAAGAGAGAAGAAGAAGAAGAAGAGAGAGAGAGAGAAGAAGAGAGAGAAGAAGAAGAAGAGAGAAGAAGAAGAAGAGAGGAGGAGAAGAGAGAAGAAGAGAACAACAACAATAGAGAGAAGAGGAAAAGAAGAAGAAAAGAAGAAGAGAGAAGGAGAGAGATGAAGAAGATAGAAGAAAAAGAGAGAAGAAGAAGAGAGAAGAAGAAGAGAAAAGGAGAAGAGAAAAGGAGAAGAGAAAAGAAGAAGAGAAAGAAGAAGAGAAAAGGAGAAGAGAAAAGAAGAAGAGAAAAGGAGAAGAGAAAAGAAGAAAAGAAGAAGAGAAAAGAAGAGAAAAGAAGAAGAGAGAGAACTACGTACTTGACCAGCCTCTCTCATAATAAAGTATAATATCAAATTTATTACATTTAAATCGACTATTACCAACCATTACAACTACAAATAATTATGCTTTTTATATAATAGATGCAATCAAAATCCATCAATATATGGAAAATCAGTGAAACAAGTTAAATATTTAGTATATATTCACTGGTAAACTACCTTACCTCTGTGTTTGTGTAATACGTATTCCAAGCAGAACGTAGTGATTCTTGACCACCAAGATCCCACATAATGAAGTGAAGATTTTTCCACACAACTTCTTCCACATTACTTCCAATTGTTGGAGATGTGTGGACGACTTCATTCATTAGAAGCTGATAGAGGATAGTAGTTTTCCCAGCATTGTCTAATCCAACCATTACAATTTTATGTTCTGGCAAATTTAAAATAAATATAAAAAATCTAGTCACCAAAATTACACAAGCAATTTAATTAAAATAAATATTGTTCATGCACCAGATTGATTATATTACATTGTACCATTTTATAATAGTGTTAGATAATAATTTTATTTTGAAAATGATGACCTACAAAACAGAGATTTCCATTTCTGAATACAGTATAAACACTGAAATGAACGTAAGCAGGAAGCCTATACTGTACATATTTAAACATTTCCTATCTGCACATAGTACATTTTCAAACATGGACATACAAAGGGGGGCAAGAATGAGTGCTTAATTATCAGTGACTGTGGGAGTGAGATTCTGCCCTGCCTCCAGCCATGTATTCCTGTCATGCTATTTACCACTCTCAACATTAATGTTTTCATCATATTTCTTTTTAAACTTGTGGATGGAATTGGCTTCAACAACCTCTTCCTTCAATGTATTCCACTTGCCAACAATCTGTACAGGGAACAAACTTTCTCACACCCCTTCGATTCACTTGCAAGTCCAGCTTCCACCGAAGTCCCTTCATCCTAACTCTTTTAATATAGAGACTTCCTTTATCCACTTTATCTATTCCCCCTAAGATCTTGTACATAATCATATTCCCTCTCTTCTCCTCTAAGGTTGTGAGGGTGTGTTCTCTCAATCTGTCCTCAACCTGAATTGAAGAGCTGAAACCCATCAATTCTGGTACTAATCTAGTTGCAAACCTCTGAACTTTTTCAAGTATCTGTTTATGCTTCACAGGGTGTGGGTTCCATGCATACTCAAGTAATGGTCTCACATGGGCAGTATGTATGGACTTGAAAGCCTACTTAATACCTGCTTGATGGGGTTCTGGGAGTTTTTCTACTCCCCCAAGCCCGGCTCGAGGCCAGGCTTGACTTGCGAGAGCTTGGTCCAACATGCTGTTGCTTGGAGCGGCCCGCAGGCCCACATATCCACCACAGCCCGGTTGGTCCAGCACTTCTTGAAAAAACCATCTAGTTTTCTCTTGAAGATATCCACGGTTGTTCTAGCAATATTTCTTATACTCGCTGAGAGGATGTTGAACAACCGTGGACCTCTGATATTTATATTGTACAGTGTTCTCTGATTGTGCCTATGGCACCCCCTGCTCTTTACTGATTCTATTCTACATTTTTTTCTATATTGTTCACTCCAGTATGTTGTTATTTTACTGTCTATATTTGAGACCTTTCCCTCCAGTATTTTCCACATGTACATTATTTGAAATCTCTCTCTCGTCTTATTTCTAATGAATACATTTGGAGAGCAGTGAGACGATCCCAATAAATTAGGTGCTTTATCGCGTCTATGTAAGCCGTAAATGTTCTCTGTATTCCCACTATTTCAGCAGTCTCTCCTGCTCTGAAGGGGAAAGCGAGTACTGAGCAGTACTCATGACAGGACAGTACAGTACAAGTGATGTCCTTATTGAGTGTAGGTGATGATGTGATTAGAACATAATAAACATTAGATTGTTTTTAGTCCTTGTATATTGGCCAAGATGAATGAGATTACTCTATTTGGGATAGTTTGACTGGGAAACTCTTTTGGCAGGTCCATTATGCATGGATATATCGAATTTGTTCTGACCAGTACTGATTGTTGAAGGGCTGCTGCCTGCCATGGTTGTAGCTCTGTTGTGGTGTGTAACTGTATCCGTGATTCTGGTATGCAAGTGGGTCTTTCATCCAGGAATTTGAGGTCTTTAGACCACAAGTTCCATACATTCTCTTAGGTCCACCTTTTGAAATCTTGGTATAAAAAATTATTTGAATTTCCTCCAAAGCCATTATTTTGCTTGCCACTCTTTATGTAGCATTCTGTGCCTTTCACGTAAAACCCACGAGACCCACGCAGTCTCCGTGGTGTAGTGGTAAGACACTCGCCTGGCGTTCCGCGAGCGCTATGTTATGGGTTCGTATCCTGGCCGGGGAGGATTTACTGGACGCAATTCCTTAACTGTAGCCTCTGTTTAACGCAACAGTAAAATGTGTACTTGGATGAAAAAACGATTCTTCGTGGCAGGGGATCGTATTCCAGGGACCATAGGATTAAGGACTTGCCCGAAACGCTACGCGTACTAGTGGCTGTACAAGAATGTAACAACTCTTGTATATATCTCAAAAAAAAGTATGGGCAGCCGAGGTCATGGCATTTTCTGTCCTCGAGTGAGGTTTTGCAAATGTCACGAGGGAAAACCTACATGTTCATCCAAATCAGCACTTTCTTTTTCTAAATATATTTAAACATTTTCTGGGATGATGGTAGCTGCATTCTACCCTTTCAAGCAACAGAAATCCCTTTTTATTTCCAGAATATTTATATCTGCAAATGACCTTTACATAGAATTTGCAAATACTTTATCGCTACTTTTGGCCTGACTCTATTGGGAACTGTTGTAGTGTCTGTACCTATTGAGCTGTCAGTGCTGTCTGTTACATTTTGTAGTCTACTGTCATCTTTATCCGGGCATACTGAATCAGAATTTACAACTTTGCGAATTTTTATTTCAGTTTTCTCCCTGTCTATAGCCTCAGCTCCTGGTCTATTATTATTTGTTTCCCACTCTTTCTGGATGACTGATAGGCTTTCAATGAATGAAATTTTTCGGTCATGAGTCATGGTATCTACAAGTTTTTTTTTTTTAATATATTCCAAGTTGGTAAGACATTGTTGCATACCCAGAGTAAATGACCAGCTTTCAGGCCTGTTGTGTTGCTCACTTCTGTACAAGCCAAGTGAAATCTATTCTTACATATATAATATTAAATTCCTGTTGCTTTTGTCTAAGGTTTTGTTGCAGTGACCACAAATTAGTTTGTTTACGACCAATTAGATGAACAAAACTGGAACTGGACATTACAAAGGCTGTTAGACCAACTGAGTTGTAATGGATATGTGGGCATGTGGGCCTCTCCAAGCAACAGCTTGTTGGACCAAGTTATTACAAGTTAAGCCTGGCCAGGCTCAGGGAGTAGAACAACTCCCAAAACCCTCTACAAATCTGACTAGATCTGTATACCCTACTTAAATATTTATTTAATTCATAGGAAAATATATATTTTATGATCAGCTTGACATCAGACATCTGCAAGCTCATTTATTGAATTCTAAGGAGGGTATCATTAACCATCCTGGCTGCGACCAACCTTGTAAAATCCACGCAGCATGAACTTGTTAAAAATAGATCCAGCCTTACAAACATGCTCTTTTTTTAAAACCGTAACCAACTACAGTGGCGCCTCGATTAACGCGTTTAATCCATTCAGGCACCGAGCTCGTCACGTGGAAAACTCGTCTTGCGAAACAACAAAACTGTCGTCAGAGGTGTCCAAGAACCAGCGGGAACACTCTGGTATACATAGCAATATGTATACCAGGGAACACTTAATCGAGTAAAAGCTCGTCAGTCGAGACATTTTCTGCGAGTGGCTTGCTCATTACCTGAAATGCTCATAACTGGAGCCACTCGTCACTCGAGGTTCCACTGTACTCGAAGGACTTCCGATGGATTTAGTATACATAGATTTTGTTTAAGCCTTTGATAAGGTACCACACGAAAGACTGGCAAGGAAATTGTAGGCAGATTGAATAAATGATAGAATACTAGAATGGATAAAACATTGGTTAAAACAAAGAAAAAGGGTCATGCTAAATAGGAATGAATCTCACTGGAGAAATGCGGTGAGTGGGATACTACATGGGTCTATTTTGGGGCCCACCCTTTTTGTCATATACAGTACATCAATGACATGAGAATATTACTAACTACTGTACTTCATCAAATTTGCATACACAAAGATTTATGGTAAAGTGAGAAATAAAAATGATATTGAAGCCTTACAGAGAGATCTACATGAACTCCACAAATAATCAGAAGACTAATAAATGCTTTTTAATGTTGAAAAATGCAAGACCTTACATGTGGGACATACCCCCACATTACAATACCAAATTAATAACATTACTTTGCATCAGATTGATGATGAAACGGACAATGGAGTCAAAATCCACCATTCACAAAAAGTTGCACAACAGATAGGATCAGCAGAAAGAAAATACTAACCAAGCCCTAGGAATAATCAAGCATATTTTTGACTAAGGAAAAGAAGGTGGTGATTCAATTGTATAAATCTCTGGTGCACCCTGACTTGGATTATTGTATCCAAGTATATGAAGACCTCATCTTCAGGCTATAGCTGATCTCAAGAAAGTACAACACCAGGCAACAAAAATCACTCCACTAAGTAAACTCTCGTACCAGGAACAGTGAAGGGCCTTGGGGCTAACAACACTGAAAACTAGGCATGACAGGGCACATCTCATTGTGACTTAAAATACTTAACAATTTGGAGGATGTTGATCCAGACAATTTATTCAATAGGTCAGATGTGACACAGACAAAGAGCACGGGCTACAAGCTCCACAAACCACAATGTAGGACTGAAAACAGATTTTTTTTACCCACAGGGTTATAAACCCATGGAACCGCCCACCCACCAAAGCCATGAATGCCAAAACTGTAAATAGGAACACCCAGTGCATAGATTCGAATCCTCATAACGGCTCCTACAGATTTTTTCAATCCCAAAATTTAAATTTTAAAATTCATCTGGAAAAAAATCAACAGAGCAAATGGGGGGAACTTTTGACAAGACTCCAGCTTCCTGTCCTCATCGAGGCCATTAATGTGTTATGGCTTTCAGGTAAATTCAGACAAATATTTGAATACTTTTGTAACTTTCATAATTTGAAAATAAAAAATTGGTACTAGGGTGTTTCCTTCCCTTTTGCCCCACATAATTATAATGGTTGTAATCTCAGCTTACCTTGATATCACCAAGAGTAATAGGGTCACAAAGGTTAAAAACCACTGCCCTAAGGTCTAAAATGGACAAAAAAAACGGTGATACCAGAGCGGGTTATAAAGAACTACTGAAGGCCGTCACTTGGAAACTGCAGCAAAATATATGGCCAAATATTTTAGAGTCGGAAATATCATTAAATCTAAGGAAACGGCAAAACTACCCAGAAAGTGAAGTGGTGAGGAGTTTGTTTAGTAGAGTGAAGCCTCGACCCAGTACAACATATGCCAATATTCCTCAGTCTCAGATTAAGCTAGAGTTTTTGTTTTATTTAACCACGAACTTTAGAGCGAAATAGTACTGGAACACTTGCCTTCGTTGCCAAAAAGACTCCACAGCTTTGCTATTAAAATACCCATTATGAAATTGTAAAGTAGCAGTAGGTATGTCACATGTAACTGAGGCGGAGCACTTATGGCCACCTTCTCCTCCACCAGCAACTGGCTGAGAACTGACTCCAGATTGGTGGGCTGCGACCGTGACGTCACTCTGACGTCACAACAACAACACCACCAGCCTCCCACACCAACTTTTCTTTATTTATTTATTTATTTATTTACTTATATACAAGAAGGTACATTGGGTTTGTGAGAATACATAGCATAGTACAGTAATTGCACTCTTGTAAAGCCACTAGTACGCGCAGCGTTTCGGGCAGGTCCTTAATCTAACAGATTTAACAATTATAGACCAATATCAAATCTACCCATTCTATCAAAAATATTTGAAAAAATTATTTACAAACAGCTCTATTCCTACCTCGTAAAATTCGACATACTCAGCCCCTGCCAGTTTGGCTTCCGGTCCCAAAAGAGTACCAATGATGCAATCATTAGTCTCCTTGACATTATCTACTCAGCCCTTGACAAAAATGAGTTTCCGATTGGACTCTTCATTGACCTAAGAAAAGCCTTTGATACTGTTAATCACAACTACCTCTTACTTAAACTCCAGCATTATGGAATCCGAGGCCTTGCCCTTGACTACATCCGATCCTATCTTAGTGACAGACACCAATATGTAACCATCAATGATACAACTTCTTCCACTCTACCAATTACCGTTGGAGTGCCACAGGGCAGCATCTTAGGACCTCTTCTATTTCTTATATATATAAACGATCTGCCTAATGTCTCTAATATTCTCAAACCTATATTGTTTGCTGACGATACTACCCTTATCTACTCAAACCTCAACCCACATACACTAAATAATGTTGTGAATAATGAATTAAAAAAAGTCCACTTATGGATGTCAACGAACAAACTAACATTAAACATCGAAAAGACTTACTACATCTTATTTGGAAGCAAATCATCAAATGCAATTCAGCTACAGATAGACAACATTAACATCAGTAATAAAAATGATGGCAAGTTTCTTGGCCTATTCCTAGACAAGAGACTCAACTTCAGCACCCACATTCAACACATAACTAAGAAAGTCTCTAAGACAGTTGGTATACTCTCCAAAATCAGATATTATGTTCCTAACTCTGCTCTCCTCTCACTATATTATGCACTAATCTACCCCTATCTTAATTATGGTATCTGTGCATGGGGGTCTACCACTGCAAACCACCTTAAGCCCATCATCACACAGCAAAAATCTGCTATCAGAATAATAACTAACTCTGCTTTCAGACAACACTCAGCTCCCTTGTTTAAATCTCTAAACTTGCTAAATATTAACTCCCTCCACACATTCTCTTGTGTCAACTACATTTACAAAACCCTGTTCTTAAATGCAAACCATGCTCTGAAACTCTCCCTGGACAGATGTAATAGGACCCATTATCACCACACCAGAAATAAATATCTCTTTGATATCCCCAGGGTCAAACTTAATCTGTGTAAACACTCTATGCAAATTAAGGGACCTAGTCTATGGAACTCACTCCCTAGTGAATTGAAAAACTGTAAAACTTTTGCCTTATTTAAAAGCAAAACCAAAAAGTACCTAACTTCATCTATTTAGTTTCCTACACTGAGCTTTAAATTTGCTCTGTACCTAGTGGTACCCAATCTCCTAATTTTTATGTAATATCAAACAACCTTATCATTGTGTTCATTGCTGTCTTCTTTTATGTGCTAGCCATATGCTGTATTGTGACTACCAATTTTTGTCAACTACCATTCAAGCTGTCATTGCAATCAATCTTATATTGTTTCTGCTGTATTGTGCCTACCAATTTGTTGTCAACTACCATTTTAAGCTGTCATTGCAATCAATCATAGCTACCTATGTGCTTTAATATACTGTACCTATAATTTTCTCTCATCTTTTTTTTTTCATTCTATGTAATCTGTTATCATTTTTTTTGTCTATAAATTTTGCAAGTATTTACCTCCTTAAAATTTTCTTAGATTAAGGACCTGCCCGAAACGCTGCGCGTGCTAGTGGCTTTACAAGACTGTAATTACCATAATTGTATCCTCACATTCCTTATGTACATTCTTGTATATGCATAAATAAATAAAATAAATAAATAAAGATAATTCTAAGTAGGTAAATTCTATCAGTTAATAAAATGAAAACAAATACATTGCAAGAAAAAAAATGAGATGAGAGAGATTAGTAAGTATATTAAAGCTCTGATTGATTACATTGACAACTTGATTGGTAATTTAAACAAGATTAATAGACACCAAATAGATTTATTTGTAAATAATAATTGAAGCTTTTAGGAGGTAAATGATAGCGAATATTTCGACACGGGAAAATGTAGGACTAACCATCCTGTGAGATGGGGATAGTAGATGAATTTATGGCTATTTTTTTTTATCTACACTGTAATCCTTCACATAGAATAAGGTAGCAGCGTGCATAGATAGGTAGTTTTATCTACACTGTAATCCTTCATATAGAATAAGGTAGCAGCGTGCATAGATAGGTAGTTTTATCTACACTGTAATCCTTCATATACAATAAGGTAGCAGCGTGCATAGATAGATAGTTTTATCTACACTGTAATCCTTCATATACAATAAGGTAGCAGCGTACATAGATAGGTAGTTTTATCTACACTGTAATCCTTCATATAGAGTAGGGTAGCAACACATTGCTATGTATACCTGGGCTTGTTAATTTAAAAAAGTACCCAGATTTTGCTAGTGGAGGCTTATAGATCGGCCTTACATTTTATGTTCTCTTCTGATTTTTAGTCAGAGTTGATTTGTTTTTGTGTAAGATAGGAAAATTAGATGAACTTATAGCTAGTTTTTTATCTACACTGAGTAATCCTTCAGATAGAATAGGATAGCAGCATATGCTCATTGCTGTACTCACCTAGTTGTGCTTGCGGGGGTTGAGCTCTGGTTCTTTGGTCCCGTCTCTCAACGGTCAATCAACAGGTGTACAGGTTCCTGAGCCTATTGGGCTCTATCATATCTACACTTGAAACTGTGTATGGAGTCAGCCTCCACCACATTACTTCTTAATGCATTCCATTTGTCAACCACTCTGACACTAAAAAAGTTCTTTCTAATATCTCTGTGGCTCATTTGGGCACTCAGTTTCCACCTGTGTCCCCTAGTGCGTGTGCCCCTTGTGTTAAACAGCCCGTCTTTATCTACCCTGTCGATTCCCTTGAGAAAATATTGAATGTGGTGATCATGTCCCCCCTAACTCTTCTGTCTTCCAACGAAGTGAGATTCAATTCCCGTAGTCTCTCCTCGTAGCTTATACCTCTCAGCTCGGGTACTAGTCTGGTGGCAAACCTTTGAACCTTTTCCAGTTTAGTCTTATGCTTGACTAGATATGGACTCCATGCTGGAGCCGCATACTCCAAGATTGGTCTGACATATGTGGTATATAACGTTCTGAAAGATTCCTTACACAAGTTTCTAAATGCCGTTCTTATGTTAGCCAACCTTGTATATTCAACTCTATGTATATAACAACCTATGTATATAACAACTCTTGTATATATCTTGTAACGGTTCTATTGTTACGTAAAGTATGGTGACAAATAAACACAGACACTAAGATACTATATATATATTTGGTCGAATATACAGAAGTACACAGGTGATACTTTGGTGTGAGTTGAGCGCACTGAGCGTCGGTACAGTATCTCGCAAGTGTCTGCTCTAGACCACACTTGAAAGTAGACTAGTTAATGTTTGCTATTCTTGCTGCTTATATTGCTCGGGCAACACCTCACCGTGTTGCCCGGGCAACGCCTCACCTCATTCATCTCCAAAGGTTGACAGGAATATTAACCCTATATTTGGAGCGAGTATATTATTGGGATAATCTACTCGCTACAGAATTCCCCCTCCCAGGGGATGAAAGGAAAAATACTTGATCAGTGGGGGAGGCAACACACTAGCTGCTGCACCTGTGTCAACGAGGAAACGGCATTTGGTTATGACGTCAGATATGTAGAGCAGTTTGAAATGGCGGGGTCACTGGCCGTTAACAGTCCCCGCCGAAGTAGTTTCCCGACCAGGAACAAGGAGCCCTACAGTTGCGGGCTTGGTGTCCGAACTTCTGGTGGTAAGAACAAAGCTCTCCCCGACGTTCTCGCTGTCGCCTAGAGACTGATACTGGATTCGCATGGTACGTCCTCCCTGGGTGGAAGAAACGCCGGTTCTGGAGGACGTCGAGTTGTTGGGTGTCTGTAGTCTGCTGTGTTACACTGGGATGGGACAGCGTAGCGTTATCAGACGTCGTATGAAGCCGGTCTGCCAGTGTAGCCAGCTGGGCTAATGGGGTGTCGTCAGCCATACTGAATAGGGCCGGTTGAATGTGTTTTGGACAGAGTTGTATCCACAGTGATCTCACAATCTCGCTGGGGGCTGGGCCAGTTGCAGTATGCATCACATACTGAATATGCCGCAGAAGCTGGGCTGGTGTTTTGTCTACTAACCTTTTGTCAGTGAGGAGTTGGTCCCTTTGTTGAATGCGGCGTTTCATTGCTGCCTGTAGAAGAGCGGCCTTCAATGCAGTGTACATCCTGGTGTCCGGTGATGGTGCGGTGATGACAGCGGAGGCAGTGTGCATAGCCTCCGAGGTAAGTGTTGACAGGGTACAGGCATATCGGGCTTTCTCAGTCGAAATTTCGTGAAGGTCGAAAATAGCCTCCATCTGCATGAACCAAAATTCTGGCTCATCTGCGTTGTATGCTGGAAACCTGGTAGATAAATCCATGGCGAAGATCTAGTTTGTGACTAGGTGTTCTTTTTCACTCACTGGGTCACCAATGTAACGGTTCTATTGTTACGTAAAGTATGGTGACAAATAAACACAGACACTATATATATATTTGGTCGAATATACAGAAGTACACAGGTGATACTTTGGTGTGAGTTGAGCGCACTGAGCGTCGGTACAGTATCTCGCAAGTGTCTGCTCTAGACCACACTTGAAAGTAGACTAGTTAATGTTTGCTATTCTTGCTGCTTATATTGCTCGGGCAACACCTCACCGTGTTGCCCGGGCAACGCCTCACCTCATTCATCTCCAAAGGTTGACAGGAATATTAACCCTATATTTGGAGCGAGTATATTATTGGGATAATCTACTCGCTACAATCTCAAAAAAAAAACTGGCATATACCGCTGATGTTATCCTCTTGATATGAGCTTCAGGGGACAGGTCTGGCGTGATATCAACCTTCAGGTCTTTCTCTCTCTCTGACTCCTGAAGTATTTCATCTCCCAAATGATACCTTGTATCTGGTCTCCTGCTTCCTACCCCTATCTTCATTACATTACATTACATTTGCTTGGGTTAATTTCTAACAAGCATTTGTGCGACCATTCCTGCAGCTTGTCCAGGTCTTCTTGAAGCCTCAAGCTGTCCTCCTCTGTCTCAATCCTTCTTATTGTATGTACTAGCTCTTTCTAGAAATCCAACATTATGTTTGTAACTCATCTTGTATGTATGTATGTACTTTTACTTGAATAAACATTTGAATTGATCTACGTTCTAAAGACGCATTTACATTTTATAAAAAATTATCTAATTATACTCGAGCGTTTATTCTCAATATTCGTTTCACATTAATTCACAAATGTATACATGAAAGCAACTGTTAACGGATGTATAATAGTTTTGCTTAGTATATTTTTATTTAATATATAATATAAAGTGAATGGTGGAGGCGGAGGTGAGATGAGAGAGAATGGCGGAGAGGGAGACGAGAGTGACGAGGACGGTGGACTCTAGAGTACCGCCAGCAGCATCTCTCCCTGGGCTCTCTCCCTCTCTTGGCTCACATGGGCGATAACGACGCTGATGGCCCAGACAGTATGGGTTCTGATGAAGAAATAAGTGAAGCTGATGAAACTTTATCGACTAGAGAACCAGCAGTAGCGTATCCTTGTTGCTAATTGGGATTGTGATTGATACCATTCAGGGATTTGTGGACTTTTATTAAATGATACACGAGGGTCACCATCTCTTATAGTCTTGGATAGACAGCTTGTGGAAAGGTGCCACCGTTATTCCTGTAGTGTAATATTTACGGTAAATATTAGCCTTAATGCGCGTCATGCACCAGTCATTGGAGTTTTAATGCCCGTGTTGGGAGACTAAATAAATTACATTAACTGTGTCTAAGAATACTCTTACGTTTCAAATGTACTTTATAATTATTTATAAATATATTTTATTGTATAATATTATGATGATTATTATTATAAAATTTCATTAAAGTCGTGTCATTTCATGCATGGGACTGCCAAGGATTTAAAAAGTAACCTTAACTAACCCTATTTAAATTTTCCAAACCTAACTAGACTAGGCTAAAGTCACACACATCTAAATAGGCTAAATATCCTATTTAGGCTAATTTAGATGATAGGCTAAAGTCTATCACGGTGAGCACGGTCTGTTATGTACAAAGTGATCTGTCTCCACCTAAGCTAATAATATATACAGTTTAACCAGTTATTAAACAAACTACTGATACTGTACCATTATATTTTACCCCTGTCCCAAGTGGTCTGTCGAGGATACAGGTCCTTTAGCATATATTTTATTTTTAAATGATTCTGAAATCCTTAGAAACATGATAGAAGTAAAATCCCTTGATTGTTTCAAGCACAGGTTAGGCACATATGAACGAGTCTGGGTGGATGTAAAGCACCTGTATCTTGTCAGACTTCCTCGCCCTATCACGGCCAAAATATGCAACATTTTATTTTTTTTCCGTAATCAGGGAATGCATTTTAATATTAAAAGGAAAACAAAATAAATCTTGTGCACCAAGGGAGTTGTCGGCTATTAATAGCTACGCAGCCCGAAGGTTAAATCTTCATTCATATAGATAAGAATATTATACTGTATGTCCTGAATCGTTTTAATTTTTATTCCATTTTTCTCTGAAAAGCTTACAAATAATCTTCAAATATGTCGCAAATATTTACTTGGCTTGTCTTATACTAATAGTGGATATTTGGAAATGGATATTTTCTTAACCTATTCAGTAGTAGATTAGAGGTGCCATTCAACACAAGTCAAGAAGCAGAGGTGGTACGCAACAGCTTGCAGGTTGATCCAGAGCCCAAGAGGAGTGGTTCATCAAAAACATTCACTCTTAATGAGAACGTTCTGTGCATGTGAGTTACTTTCAAGTTTACTGTAGGCTAGTTAGGATACAACATCCTCAGATTTTTGTGTTCTGAAGTTGAGTGTATAATTTGAAAAGGTTTTCTTATAAAGATTCATTACACAAGTGTTCAACATTGCTCATCATCTCAGCCATTACAGTGCTTTATATTTAGAGCAGAATGGAATGTCTGAACTATTCCTTTGACTTCCTGTTTGCTGATGACTGTGCCCTCAGTGCCAGCACATAGCAAATGATGCAGCATGAAATGGACTGCTTCTCACAAGCCTGTATAATCCTTTGTAGATGACACTAGGAATTTTATGAGTAGACAACATAGAGAACATGGCAAACCTCCAAGCAGATGTAAATCAGGTCTTTCTATGGGCTACAGAAAATAATATGGTGTTTAATGAAGATACTGTAAGTTCCAGCTCCTGCATCACGGAAAAATGAAAATATAAAAACGGAAACTACGTACAAAATGCAGTCAAATCATAACATACAACAAAAAGGAAATGTGAAGGATTTTGGGTGTACCTTATCTTTAATCACTGTACTGTGCAGAGTGCCCTAAGGCGCTCTGAGAGTTGTGATTTGTTTTAATTAGGCTATATTTTAATGTGTTTTTAATGTTTTCATCACTCTGTTTTGAAATGAAAATGGTTGAATTTAGAAACATTTTGACATTAACTTTACCTGAACATTTATGAAAACAACAAAAATATGCCCTTGACAATTGCACTATGAAGTTTTTGCCGAAACCAGGTGCGTGGTTACCTTGAGGGTGCTTCCAGGGCTTAGCGTCCCCACGGCCCGGTCGTCGACCAGGCCTCCTGGTTGCTGGACTGATCAACCAGGCTGTTGGACGCGGCTGCTCGCAGCCTGACGTATGGTCACAGCCTGGTTGATCAGGTATCCTTTGGAGGTGCTTATCCAGTTCTCTCTTGAACACTGTGAGGGGTCGGCCAGTTATGCCCCTTATGTGTAGTGGAAGCGTGTTGAACAGTCTCGGACCTCTGATGTTGATAGAGTTCTCTCTCAGAGTACCAGTTGCACCTCTGTTTTTCAACGGGAGTATTCTGCACATCCTGCCATGTCTTCTGGTCTCATGTGATGTTATTTCTGTGTGCAGGTTTGGGACCAGCCCCTCTAATATTTTCCACGTGTAAATTATTATGTACCTCTCCCGCCTGCGCTCAAGGGAGTACAGTTTTAGGCTCTTTAGTCGGTCCCAATAGTTTAGATGTTTTACTGAGTGGATTCTAGCAGTAAAGGATCTCTGCACGCTCTCCAGGTCAGCAATTTCTCCAGCTTTGAAAGGTGCTGTCATTGTGCAGCAGTACTCTACTCTAGAGAGCACAAGCGTTTTGAAAAGTATCATCATCGGTATAGCATCTCTCGTGTGAAAAGTTCTTGTTATCCAACCTGTCATTTTTCTTGCAGTTGTGACGGCTACTTTATTGTGTTCTTTAAAGGTAAGGTCTTCCGACATGAGTATACCCAGATCCTTTACATTGCCTTTTCGTTCTATGTTATGATTTGCCTGAGTTTTGTACGTGGTTTCCGTTTTTATATTTTCATTTTTTCCATAGCGCATGAGCTGGAACTTATCTTCGTTAAACACCATATTATTTTCTGTAGCCCATAGAAAGACCTGATCTACATCTGACTGGAGGTTCGCCGTGTCCTCTATGTTGCCTACTCTCATGAAGATCCTAGTGTCATCTGCAAAGGATGATACAGTGCTATAGGTTGTGTTCTTGTCTATGTCCGAAATGATGATGAGAAAAAGTACTGGAGCAAGCACAGTACCCTGGGGGACTGAGCTCTTCATGGTTGATGGGCTGGATTTTATTTTGTTGACTATTACACATTGGGTTCTGTTGGTCAGGAAATTGTAGATCCATCTGCCTATTTTTCCGGTAATTCCTTTTGAACGCATTTTATGTGCAATAACACCATGGTCACATTTATCAAAAGCTTTTGCGAAATCTGTAAATTACATCCGCGTTATGTTTGTCTTCCATAGCATCTAATGCCATATCATAGTGGTCCAGCAACTGCGACAGGCAAGAGCGCCCTGTTCTGAAACCATGTTGTCCAGGGTTATGGAGTTGCTGTGATTCAATGTATTTTGTGATTTTACTTCTTAGCACTCAAAAAATTTTATGATGTGCGATGTTAGCGCTGTCGGTCTGTAATTTTTTGCCTCGGCCTTATTTCCTCCTTTATGAAGTGGTGCTATCTCTGCTGTTTTTAGTATATCAGGAATAGTGGTGCAGTGGTTAAAGAAAACAATGAAGCAGCTGTCACATCTGCAAGAAAATGACAGGTTGGGTAACAAGAACCTTTCAAACAATAGATGCTATACCGATGAGGATACTTTTCAAGATGCTTGTGCTCTCTAGAGTGGAATACTGACGCACAATTACAGCCCCCTTTCAAAGCTGGAGAAATTGCTGACCTGTAGAGCGTGCAGAGATTCTTTACTGATAGAATCCACTCTGTAAAACATCTAAACTATTGGGAACGACTAAAATGCCCAAATCTGTATTCTCTTGAGCGCAGACAGGAGAGATACATAATAATTTACACGTGGAAATAGTAGAGGGGGCAGGTCCCAAACCTGCACACAGAAATAACACCACATGGGTGGTGTAAATAAACTGTTTAACACAGGTGATACACAAACAAGGGGGCACAGGTAGAATCTGAGTACCCAAATGAGCCACAGGAATGTTAGAAAGAACTTTTTCAGTGTCAGAGTAGTTAACAGGTGGAATGCGTGGAGTGAGTTCATATTTAGCATGTTTAGGGATTTAAAAAGACGGGGTGTGTGTTGTCTGAAAACTGAGTTTGTTATGGTTCTGATAGATTTTTGCTGGGATGAAGAGCTTGAAGTAGTTTGCAGTCATTGAACCCCATGCACAGATACTGTATGTAAGATAGGGATAGATTAGTGCATAGTATAATGAGATAAGAGCAGAGTTTGGAATATATCTGATTTTAGAAAGTATACCGACCGTTTTTGAGACTTTACTGGTTATGTGTTGTATGTGGGTGCTGAAGTTGAATCTCTTGTCCATGTATAGGCCACAGAACTCCCCATCATTTTTAGTACTTATGTTAATATTGTCAATTTGAAGCTGACTTTCATTTGATGATTTGCTTCCAAATAAGATGTAATAGGTCTTTATGTTTAGTGTGAGTTTGTTGGATGACATCCATGAATGGACTTTTTTAATTCGTTATTAACAACATTATTTAGTGTGTGTGTGGGTTGGGGTCTGAGTAGATGAGGGTAGTATCGTCACCAAATAGTATAGGTTTAAGAATGTTAAAAAGAGACATTTGGCAGATCATTGATGTATATAAGAAATAGGAGAGGTCCTAGGATGCTGTCCCGAGGTGCTCCTACAGTTAATGGTAGAGTGAGGGGGGGAGGTTACATCATTGATGGCTACATATTGGTGTATGTCACTAAGACAGGACTCTTGCCCACCCATGCCTTCTCTAATTTTTATAGATGATACATAAATGAATCGTTTCATGGATTCAGTGATGATGCATCTGATACAACAGATGAACAGTGTTAGCGGCTTCCGTGGTGGTGTTTTTCCATAGATACTTTCAAGAATACATGTAGCTGAATCTCTTCCAGAGAGGGACCTTACAAAGCGATCTTTTCAAGACTACTTTACAAATTGATCTTTTCCTATAATCTTTTCAAGACTACCTTATGCTCCACAAGCTTGGCTACATACCACCTACAGGTACTAAAGCCAATGGTGTACGTGAGTGCGTTATTTGCAAGCACACAGAACAAAGAAACAGGAAGCAAAAATCTATCTACCTGGTGCAACGAGAGCAAAGTCATGCTGTGTACCATGGACTGCTTCATTGATTATCACTCGCTTCCAAAGTATTTAGTAATTACCTAAGTGTAATTACCTAAGTGTAGTTACAGGATGAGAGCTACGCTCGTGGTGTCCCGTCTTCCCAGCACTCTTTGTCATATAACGCTTTGAAACTACTGACGGTCTTGGCCTCCACCACCTTCTCACTTAACTTGTTCCAACCGTCTACCACTCTATTTGCGAAGGTGAATTTCTTATATTTCTTCGGCATCTGTGTTTAGCTAGTTTAAATCTATGACCTCTTGTTCTTGAAATTCCAGGTCTCAGGAAGTCTTCCCTGTCGATTTTATCAATTCCTGTAACTATTTTGTATGTAGTGATCATATCACCTCTTTTTCTTCTGTCTTCTAGTTTTGGCATATTTAATGCTTCTAACCTCTCCTCGTAGCTCTTGCCCTTCAGTTCTGGGAGCCACTTAGTAGCATGTCTTTGCACCTTTTCCAGTTTGTTGATGTGCTTCTTAAGATATGGGCACCACACAACAGCTGCATATTCTAGCTTTGGCCTAACAAAAGTCATGAACAATTTCTTTAGTATATCGCCATCCATGTATTTAAATGCAATTCTGAAGTTAGAAAGCATAGCATAGGCTCCTTGCACAATATTCTTTGTGGTCCTCAGGTGATAGTTTTCTATCTAGAACCACTCCTAGATCTCTTTCTTTATCAGAATTCTTTAAAGATTTCTCACATAATATATAGGTTGTGTGGGGTCTATGTTCTCCTATTCCACATTCCATAACATGACATTTATTAACATTAAATTCCATTTGCCAAGTGGTGCTCCATATACTTATTTTGTCCAGGTCTTCTTGAAGGGCATGACAGTCATCTAAATTTCTTATCCTTCCTATTATCTTAGCATCATCAGCAAACATGTTCATATAATTCTGTATACCAACTGGTAGATCATTTATGTACACAATAAACATCACTGGTGCAAGAACTGAACCCTGTGGTACTCCACTTGTGACATTTCTCCATTCTGATACATTGCCTCTGATTACTGCCCTCATTTTTCTATCAGTCAGAAAATTTTTCATCCATGATAGAAGCTTACCTGTCACCCCTCCAATATTTTCCAGTTTCCAGAACAACCTCTTATGTGGAACTCTGTCGAAAGCCTTTTTTAGGTCCAGATAGATGCAGTCAACCCAACCATCTCTTTCCTGTAATATCTCTGTGGCTCGATCATAGAAACTGAGTAAATTCGATACACAGGATCTTCCAGATCGAAAACCATACTGTCTGTCTGATATTATATCATTTCTCTCTAGGTGTTCTACCCATTTAGTTTTGATTAGTTTTTCCAATACTTTCACTATTACACTTGTCAATGATACAGGTCTATAATTGAGGGGGTCTTCCCTGCTGCCACTTTTGTAGATTGGAACTATGTTAGCCTGTTTCCACCCGTCTGCTACGATTCCTGTACACAGGGATGCCTGAAAGATCAGGTGAAGTGGAATGCTGAGCTCAGATGCACATTCTCTCAGAACCCATGGTGAAACGCCATCTGGGCCAGCTGCTTTGTTCTTACCGAGCTCCTTGAGCATTTTTTCCACTTCGTCTCTAGACACCTCTATGTGTTCTATGTTGTTCTCTGGAATTCTTATTGTATCTGGTTCCCTAAAGATTTCATTTTGTACAAACACACTTTGGAACTTTTCGTTTAGTGTTTTACACATTTCCTTTTCATCTTCCGTGAATCTATTTCCCATTTTCAACCTCTGAATATTATCCTTTACCTGCAATTTGTTGTTTATGAATTTATAGAATAGACCTGGTTCTGTTTTACATTTGTCCGCAATCCCTTTTTCAAAATTTCTTTCTGCCTCTCTCCTCACTGCCGTGTAGTTGTTTCTCGCATCTTTGTATCGCTGGTATGTTTGGGGGTTCGGCCTCTTCCTGTATTGATTCCATTTTTGTGTCTTTCGGTCTCTAGCCCTCTCGCAATTTCTATTGAACCAATCCTGTTTCCTAGTTCTGCATCTCTGTTTTGGTATAAATTTTTTTGTGCCTTTATCATATATTTCACAAAACTTGCCATACATCTCATTCACTTCCTTGCCTAGCATCAAGTCTGTCCAATTATACTCACTAAAAAAATTTCTAAGGTCACCATAATGTCCTCTCCTGAAGTCTGGTTTTTCAACTGCTTCAACCTCCTTATTTTCTTCCAGCTTATAACGCATTGCATACTTTATTCCCAAAAAGACATGGTCACTTTTACCCAAGGGAGGAAGGTACTGAATGTCAAATATCTCTTCCTCCTTCCTGGTAAATATCAAATCTAGCATGGAGGGAACGTCCCCTTCCCTCATCCTCGTAGCTTGTTTAACATGTTGATACAAGAATGTTTCCAGGATGAGGTCTACAAATTTACAGGTCCAAAAATCTTCTGTTTTAGCTTCATATGCTTCCCAGTGTAATACAGTGTGTTACTGTGTAAATAGTGTGTGAAACTGTACATATTGTAATTTTAATGAAAATAGTGTGTGAAACTGTACATATTTAATTTTAATAAGTAATATTGCAACAATAAACATTTATTGTGGACACATTATTGACATGTATCACAGTTCCATGGAACATTATGAATGTTCTACTGTATACATATTGTAAAGTACACAAATATGCATCATATACGATAAAAAAAAACGCATCGGAAATACATAGAACAAATAATTGAAAATATATTTGTGGCAACTCGCAATGCTTGAATGGCACGCGCCACTGCCTCTGGGAGCTTTATGCACAAGAGACCAGCCCGTGGTACCCACCTTCTCCATGTCCCCACAACCAAAGTAAGTGGAATTTTTTAGTTTTTTTACATATACGTGTTCAGGGAAGGAAATTTACCATTTTACAAAGATAAAAAAAAAATTGCGAACACTTAATTTTATGCGCACGGGGGGGGGGGGGGAAGTCATAATAAATAACACCTTTAAGCATATTGTGGTCAATGGGTAAGGCGAGCATCTGGGTTGAGCCAGGACACGGATTCAATCCCTCCATCTTGCTCCAAAGATTTAATTAACAAGGTAGCTTCTTTAGGAGCTGCAGTAGTCCAGGTGTGGGAGAGTCCTCTGGGGCCTCATAGTCCGCAGGTCCAACCCAACATAACGTGGAGCTCCTTCTAAATTATTGCAAACAGTGTGTTAGATGATTGGAACAAATTAGGCGAGAAGGTGGTGGAGGCCAAAGCCGTCAGTACCGTAGTCTCAAAGCGTTATATGACAAAGAGTGCTGGGAAGACTGGACACCATGAGTGTAGCTCTCATCCTGTAACTACACTTAGGTAATTACAATAAACTCGGTGCATCACAGTGGCTAAACGGCGCAATACACACATACGATGGGAGTAACTGTCACGGAATGGTGCACATGGTACATAAACGATTGAGGGTCTAGCACACGATTTTAAATGCCCCGTGAGGGATAGGGGTCGCTATAGTCCAGCCATGATCGATAGTAAACAGACTCCATCTTGGAAAAAAATCGTGGGTAACATGCCTGGGTGTGAGAGCCTCAGTAATTAGTGAGCAACCAAGGCTGGCACACGCAGCATGAGCTAACAGCACTGTTGTTCAGCTTGTGAACACAGCATTGCCTAAATATGTAACAATATATATGAACCTGCTATTATTTAGTGATGATAGTATTAGAGAAGACCCCTGACTGTGATCAAAATGATCAGGATTCTGATAATAGCAGGATTGTGGTGATAATTAGTGCTGTGCTCTATGGTGGGAGGAGTAATGCTGAGGGAGGGAGGGAGGTGGCATCATCATCTGACTGTGTGGCCACGTTTTATTGTCTGAACTCACCATACCAGCTTAGTGGTTCTTTATGGTGAACACAAATGTTGATACTTACTTTATATAGTGTAATAACAGTAATAGGAGTATGTTGGGAGCAGCCATTTTGGTGAGGGAGGTGATGTCGTCTGCATGATGTTTCATGCTATGTACTGGTGGTCACTATGCTCTTTGGGCACCATACCAGCTTATTTGTTCAGTTATGGTGAATAAAACACATAGATACTTATATATAATATGTGTGTATATAATGTAATAAGACCACAAACAGTATTGTTGGAGGAGAAATATTAGTGCTTCTGGGCTTGAACCAGTGAGGGAGGCAGCTGCCAGCTGACTTGTGTCTATAGCTACATCTCTTATTGCCTGAACTTACTATAGAAGCTTAGTTGTACAGTTATGGTGAATAAAACGTGCCTATAATTATATATAACGTGTGTGTATATATAGTGTAGTAACAGCAAAACTATTTGTTTATTTTCTTTTATAAACATAATTGAATCAGTAACATGCACACCATAATTTTGAGTATAGCGATGGTTCACACATTTTATTATATATCACACTACACACTATTGAATAATATTACTGCAAAAAGCTAAGAAAAATCAGAGACATTGAAATAATTAGGTAATAAAATCTTTGTGGCAACTCTGCCTGACAGCTATGGCAGAGCAGACCACCTCTGGTGCTTGCTCTGTCAATCCCTCTTTTTTCTTTTTTTTTTTTTTTTTTTTGCCAGACTTCCCTGTCCTATTGCTGCCAAAATATGCCACCTATGATTTTTTTTATTATGTTTCCCGTGCTCCCGGAACAAAAATAAACACTTTTATAAGAAAAAAAAATAATTTTTTTTTTTCTTGTGCATGGTGGTGTTGAAGGCATTAAGGCCCAGAGCAGCACAAAGGTTAAAAGACGAGACTAACCAAGTTAAAGTGGATGATAAAAGGACAGCAAACACACTGAATGAATATTTTAATTCAGTGTTCACACTAGAAAGGTTGGAGGACATCCCATCACCCACACAAATGTTTGAAGAAGGTGAAGAGAATGAATTTAGGGATACAGTATACCCATAACATGTGACATAATCAGGAAGAACGTTGACAAACTAAAAAACTCTGAAGCCCCAGGTGTGTGGATGGAATCCAATCCAAAGTTATATAGGAACTGGCAGAAGAACTATCACTAAAATGAATTTTCACAAAATCCCTGGACTAAGTGATAGTTTTCCCTAAATTGGAAATATGCAAATGTCACCCTCTATTTTAAAAAAAGGCAGAAAGAGCTCAGCACAAAATTACCATCCAATCAGCTTGATATCACACATCTGCAAGCTAATGGAGAGAATAATTAGGAAGGGAATTATTCACCATCTTTCAGTGAAGTCTTGTACAATCAGCACAACATTCATCTATATATCATCTAAATAAATTGGGAGATAGCATGAGTGGGCAAGGGTGACACTCAGAGCTACAACTGGATATACTCGCTGTATCCTCCTCATAGGTGCTGTATCACTTGCATCCGACCCTTGTGTTAGGTCCTTATTGCGCCTAGCTTCACCAATATTATGACCCTTATGTTCTTCAAACAATAAGGTTTGAATTTCACCGACAGAGTGCGATCTTTCAACACCGCGTCAGATAGGTGTTTGGGAGCCAGAGGCGCGTGCGCCACCCATGGTTGCTCACTCAGTACTAACCCAGCCAGCAGCTCTAGGGCATTCTGGGGATTTTTTCCAAGATGGCTGCCTCTCACTGGAGGTCCTAAGAGTCCATTTTGTACACAACCAACCTCGCACACATTTAGAATGGGTACGAAAAAAATCAAAGTTTTCTCGGTTGGCACAGTTTCCCGCCGACCGAGAATACTTGGTTGGCGCAGTTAAGTGGTTAAAGCAAAGAAAATAGGTGCCAAAAAACATAGACAATTTTCTTTTGCAAACAGTGTGGTAGATGGTTAGTTTTGTTCCAAGTGTGGTGGTGGTGGAGGCCAAAACAGTCAGTAGTTTCAAAGTAAGAGTATTGGAAAGACAGGATACCATGAGCATAGCTCGCATCCTGTAACTACACTTAGGTAATTACTATATAAACTTTTCCATTCTAATCACATATACAGTGCATGTAACGAAGAATTATTACATCTTGCAGAGAAATTCGCTCTCCAGATGTGCGGCAGCTCCGAACAGCAGTGTGTTCCTTTATGGATCTGTTGCACTTAGTATCAAAGACTGTTGATCAGTTTGGCCCTCCAACTCAGCAGCCGAAGAAAATGTGCATGTAACTTTGTTTTTATTGATTTTAAGTGGGAGGCGATATATAATTCATTAATGAAAAAATTATAATTACATATTGACTGAATTTTTTATTCTTTTTGTGATCTATGTACTTGCATGGGTACATTATTTAATAATTCTTAATACTGTATATAGCATGATAAATCTAAGAGTGCTGTGAATGTTAGCCAACATAATCTCTATTAGAAGAAAGTAAAGGAAACTCAACGTTATCCACCAAAGATTCATAATTAAAACAACTGAATCATAATCCAGTTGTTTTAATTATACACATTATACATGTCTAATGTGAAGGTTGTTATATTTATTGGATTGATATATAGTAATACATATAACCATTAGTAAACACATTATGGGAGAACATACTCCTGCACCCACCCCAGGACGTTCCTACTATGGCTTTGTATTGTATCTGCTTGGATGGACAGGTATTATTACATATCTTGTGTGGGCTATTGTACCTCACACCTATTTGGCTATTCTTGGCCTTACATACATCCCTCAGTCTTACTGGGCTGTGGCATTCCCTAGTGTGATTATCATGCTGTTAGTGATATTTGTTTTTTTTATATATCCTGCAATCAATTTCACGTTAGCAATACAGCCAGATGACATACGAAACATAACTGACAACAAGGCAGTCAATGAAGACGATTACCCAGAATCCATGGAGTGTGCTGTTCCTCCAGTATATGACTTGCACATTTCAAAAGTTTGTAGGGCATTATATAGATCATAATATGCTTAGAAAAATTTAAAATATTCACGTTAATTTGTATTTACATTATAAATTCAAATTTGTACATTATTAGTTCTTTAAATTTCATGTTTTATACTTTTTCAGATAAAATCTTCAAATTACCATTTATAGTTGGAATAGTATTATACACTTTCTCACTAACCAACAGGGTGGTAATTATAGGTCCTCTGCCAATCATGTATTTCCCCAAATAACTTCATATGACACCTTTTTGTGCAAATATTCTCTTCTATCTTAAAACTAATTTCTCAGCTTCCTCTCGTCTATTCCATCAGTAGTGTGTGAGCTACAGTTGAAAAGTAATGGATAAATAACATGTATTAAAAATAAATTGCAATGTACAATAGTTCTGGATGCTGAGGAGCAGTACTAGTATGTGCAACATTGTGAAATTATGGAATACATTGCATGTTATGTGACAAATAATGAATATTATTTTTTATGGAATTACTGTATACCACAGCTTGGTTACTGCTTCATTTGTGTTTGTATTTGTCAGCTTGTAGTTGTTCCTTCTCTGTGTACACAGCAAAATGTCATCTTGCCGTTTACATATACTGTAGTACAGTATGTTATAAATAAATTATTATTATAATATTGTTAAGTAAAACAAATGCTAAAATATTTCATACAAAACTAACCCTAATTCCTCACTGTCCACTTATCTTATTTGACAGAAAATGTGCCATTTATGATGCAGTACTTTGATATTTTTACATTCATTTTTATGATAAAAATTATTTTCTTTATCTTTAAATGTACTCTTTCGAACATTTCTCTAGTTTCTTCTTGTTTCTAATTCCCTCATAACCAAAACAGAATGAGAAACATTTTCATGATTATGTATTGGTCACAAAACCAGCCCTTTACACTTCAAATATGCATTCTTTTACTAATTGACATCTAAGATAGAATGTTTTGATTTTCAATATGGGTGGGAAATTTGCTTTCCAACTGTCCATGTACTCTACATGTAATGTCTAAATAAAATTTTCCTCAGTAAATCGGACTCCTTCAATATACATTTCTTCCCGATCCCTATTAATTAGATTACCTATCAATCATGAATCTGGATTCAAATGTGATTGGACAGAAAACGTACCAAGTGATTTCTTGTATGATCAGATCTTCACGGTAGTGGCTAGCACTCATTTCATAACCAAAATTTCTTTACCTAACCTAATCAAATAAGCCTATTCAAGTAAATATGGTAAATCTATTCACTAAATATGGCGGTGAAAAGTTGCATTTATAGGTGTGAGGGAGGTAAGATTATTTCCACACCAGTCTCAACTCTGCTGCCTTTTCATTTTTCTGTTAACCTCTATGTTTTTATACATAACATTCACACTTTTATCATAAATAAAATAAACAATAATATTGAGCTTTTGTGATGTCAGGATGTGTAAATAACATACAAAATTGCATTAACAAATGTGTTGGGTGATTACACCAATACTAATGAAAATTGGGGGAATTCCTTCAAAACATAATATTTACCAAGATATTTTACCTTAAATGAAATGAAAGATGGCAGATAAACAATATTTATTAACCTTTAGAACCAATGAATGATATGGGAAATGTATATTTTCAAATTCTTACATGTATGCTCAGAGCTCGGAAGTGACGTGCTGGTGAGGAGGCAGTAACAGGCTTCCTCCCTCACACTGCTTACCTCCAATTTTTCTTTCATCACACAATCCATCTATACATTTTATCAAAGGCAATATAATAATGATACATTATTATATAAGCTACATTAGTCAGTAGCTATAAATAACAAATATAGTAGTTTTAAACAGCAGAAAATTTGCATGTTTATTTTAAATTCAGCATTGTTGGAATCAAAAATAGATGATGGCTAAATAATGTGTGCATTATTCAATGGACCATACAATTGTATCTATACAAATTTTATGTTTACAATTTTTTTGGCTACAAGCTTTTTGGAAGTGACTTGCTTCTTCCTCCGAGCTGCCTCCTCCCTTCCCCCTTTGTTATTTATAAATAATCATCAACTTATTTCTTACTTTGTGATAAAAGTGTAGATATCATAAATACATGGTTTTGTAATGCTAGGATTTATAAATAACTTGGAAAACATGCATCATATAAAAAGTGAAGGGAGAAGGAAAACCAGTAGGTGTCTACACCATTAATTAAAGGCAACTGTAAGAATCCGAGAGATTTGAGAGTGGTTATAATTCGATCACTAATACCAAAGACACACAGGCAGGGTGACATCGGCAGCATATGGAATGCTGGCAAACATTATAATGTTTAGATAACTAAATCAGGATGCATTCATCCTGATTCTAAAAAAAAAGTGCAGAGGTTTGCAACTAGATTAGTGCCAGAGCTCAGAGGGTCAAGTTATGAGGAAAGGCTCAAGGAACTGGATCTCTTAACCTTAGAGGACAGAAGAAATAGGGAAGATATGATGATAATGTACAAGATACTGAGGGAAGTATGAAATGGGACAAGGATAGCCTCTTGAGTTGAGATAAAGTAGGACAAGAGGATACAAGAAGAAGCTGAAATTGCAAACGAGTCAAAGAAATGTAAGGAATGGACTCATACCCTGTATGAGTGGTCAAGAAGTAGAATGCATTTAAAGAAGTTGTGGAAGCCACCTCCATTCACTTAAGGACAGGTTCAACAAACATATTTATTGTTAGAATAGTGAAGCTTCAACACAAGGGGTACAACAAGGCTAGGTAGGCAGGGCATAAAGAGCTAGACCTGGGGCTCCCCCTTTCCCCTCCCAGGGAGGGGAAAGGGGGAGCCCCAGACCCTCGCACTGGCGATCCAACCGGCAGTTCTTGGCTGATGTGATATTGGCAGGTCATGTGCCTCTGGCTCCTGTTTTGATATCAGTTACTGTGCCTTGTGGCATGGTCTATCTCTACAGGTAATGTGCGAGCCAGGCGTAATATCCTACGGTGCTCGGGCTGCATGCACCTAGAGTTTCCTTCCCTAGGTGCCCTGTAAGTACTGCTCTTGGAGCTTGGGGCCCCCTTCCACAAGTCACCTTGCGGCTTACCCCCGCCGTGTCTTTTAATTAATGCTCGGTACTTGGCTGCCCTTGGAGTCGGCTGGGTTTTTTTTGTCCTTGTTTGCCTCTGGGTAGGAGGTAGTTTTCTTCACTGGTAAGGGAACGAGCTACTGCACAGCTAGCTATCACCTACCATAGTGGCCGGCTCTGTTCCGCCTGGGTATGGTAGGCCAGTGGTACCAGATTCAAGGCAGGTGCAGCCCAGAGGGAAGAGGGAAGTTACTTTAGTTCCGTCTTTCTATATACCTCGACGGCTGGATGGTTTGGGCTTCCAGCCAGTCCGCTTGTCTGCTCGTCAGGGGATTTGGTTCTTTCCCAGCTTGCTAGGTTCGGGTTCTTGGTGAACTGGCAGAAGTCCCATCTGGTTCCCTCTCAGGTTCGGTCTTGGCTGGGTCTTGTGCGAGATGCTCAGACCGCTTCCTTGTCTTTTCCTCCGGCGGCTCTGCTTCACCTGCGTTTCCACCTTCGTATGTTCCTGAGGGGCTCCCGGGTCATGCAACGGTTGCTTGAGGGTTTGTGTGGAAGCACGAACTTTGCCATGATGGTCTCCTCGCCGGATCGGGCGTGGCTTCGTCAGCTGTTCTGGTTTCTTCAGGGTACCATCCTTCAGTCGGGCTCACAGCACGGTGCAGGTGTTGGTGGATGTTGCTCCGGGGGATTCGGGTCGCACGTGGATAGACGATCCAGCTCCATTTGGACTTCCCCGGTGGTTCATTGCCTGAACCAAGGGGGTTCCATGCGGTCCTTGGCTCTTTGGGGCTGGTCACTTCGGGTGCCTCGTCTGCTGAGTTCTCGGGGTTTGGCTCTCCTGGCGGTTCACATTCGGGGGGTGAATGAACCGGGACAGCCTATCCTGGTTCATTCCCATGTCCAAGGAATGGACAGTCGACGCCAACTCATTCAGTTGGCTCTGCCAGACATTCGGGCCTCCAGAAGTGGCTCTTCGCGTCGGCGTGGTCGAGGCGTCTCCTGGTGTACGTGGTGCCCTTCCCCCGACAGCAAAGCCATTGGGGTCAACGCCTTCAGGCTGGACTAGGCAAGGCGGGGGTTGCCTGTAACTCTTCCCCCCGGTTCACCTGTTGCTCCAGGTCCTAGCTCGCTTAGAGACTTACCAGGGGGAGAGTAGCAGTCTTGGCTCCTTGGTGGCTGGCCCAGCCTTGATTACAAGTACTTACCTAGTAGATTAATAGTAGTACTTACCTTACCAAGGTGCTGCTTGCTCGGTGTCCAAACCCAAAGGTGTTCCTGCGGCTCCGCCTCTTTCAGCAGATCGGTCCAGCCCGGTTCGAGGCCGATTCGTTCTTCTCCTAGAGTCTTCGCGTCTGGAGTGCTGACTCGAGTCTATCATCACTTGTATGGGGTGTAGTTGGCTTCATTGTTGGTCTCCCACCTGCGTACTTCATCTCTGTGGCAGTGTGAAGGTTCCTGGTGGTCCTTCCTGTTTTTCCTATCACTGCGTAGGTGTACTTCTGTCTCTGATAGGGTTGCTTGTCCTTCCTTTCATGGTTGTTCCAAGATCATCATCTGCCGAATATTGTCGCCTCATATTGTGCAGCGCTCGTATCCAGCTTGTGTTTGGTATTTATTTTACTTCCCGAGCCGTCCTGGTCTTTGGACTGGGTGCTCTCTTCTCTCTTCTCGGTTTGTTGTGGCCCCTTTGGTTCAGGTTTGTTTTTTTAAGGCTCTTTTTCCTGTAGGCACTGCCTCTTGGGGGTCAGGTCGGGGAGCTTCATGCTCTCCTCCGGCGCAGAGGTTTCTGCTCCTTTGGTCTTGGTTGTACGTTTGTTCGGCTACAGCCATCTCCTTTTCTGGCGAAGTATGTGATTCTTTCCAGAGGGGTTACATATCACCCTGGAGAGCTCTGGGGAGCCTCCGGGTGTCACCCAGAAAACGGTGTTTCATTAAATTCAACGCTGGTTTTTTTCTCCAGTTTAGTGTTTGGAAGGGCAGTCCCCTTCCATTATAACATCAGGCAGTGATGCCATTTCTGGGGTACACTCTCCTATATTCTACTAAGTCCTTGTCCTACTAAGAATCTGTCTATAGACACTTGTTTTTCCCCTACATTTTAACACTTGTCTGTAGTGAGACATCACATTGTCATTAAAAAGGTTAATGCAATGGCCTGGCTACAGCTTTATCTGGGTGAGTTTTTTCAGCAAAACTTTGCAGTTCTTCCCATACTGCACACATTTTCTTAATTTTAGCGGTACCTGTGGTACTGCTAAACTTCTGCTTCAACAGTCCTTTGTCCTGGGTTCGTATCCTAGCCAGGAAGGATTTACTTGGTGTCAATCCTCAACTGTAGCCTCTGTTTACCCGACAGTAAAATGGGTACCTGGTTGTTAAATGACATGGCGGGTCGTATTCCGAGGAACATGGGATTAAGGACGTGCCCGAAATGCGACACGTGCTAGTGGCTGTACAGGAGTGTAAGAACTTGTATATATATAATAAAAAATAAAATAAAATAATATAATAATACGGAAGGGACATTCTCTACTGCCTCTACTCACAACCTTTTTCTTAGGTTGAACTTTACCACTGATTTTCTTGGGACCCATGGCATGATATATAATTTGTGAATAATAACATGATATATTTAATTTGAGGCATTAAATATGCAAAAATTATAAGATAGAAGAAAAAGAGGCGATATGATCACTACGTACAAAATAGTAACAGGAATTGATAAAATTGATAGGGAAGAATTCCTGAGACACGGAACTTCAAGAACAAGAGGTCATAGATTTAAACTAACGAAACAAAGCTGCCGGAGAAAAATAAGAAAATTCACTTTTATAAACAGAGTGGTAGACGGTTGGAACAAGTTAGGTGAGAAGGTGGTGGAGTAAGGTTCCCCTGTATTGAACAATCTGGAGGATACTGATCCAGACAACTCCTTTAAAACGTTAGATGTAACACAAACAAGGAGTAATGGTTTCAATCTCAACAAGCCACAGTGTAGGACAGAAAACAGGAGATACTTTTTCACTCGTGGAACAGCATTACTGCTGAAGAGATAAATGCCAAAGCACTGCTGAATTTCAAAATCCAGCTCAATAAAAGCATCAGGACCATTGGAGGACCTTTAATAAGCTGCCAACTTCTTGTCCTTATTGAGCCCACTAGAATGATAGCAGCCCTCAGGTAAATAATGTCTTCTTCAACAGCAGAACAAAAAATTACTTTTTCTCTGTACTGGTCAAGCTGTTACAGCCAGTGAAGATCCGATCACAGTCCTCACCTTGCTGGCCAGCCTCAATGGCATGATAATTATCATCAGTCATGGATGTCGAAGTGGAGATCTCTACCAGGTTGGCACTACCAAAGTGAAACACAAACATTAATATTCTTGAATTACTGTACAGTTAACTCTAATATAACACATGCTTATATAGCACATTTAGTAATAAATTAAATATAGTAAACAGTTTACCTGATGAGCTGCAAAGTAACACGTGATAAAAATGAGAGTTCCTTAGAGTGAGAGTTAATGTGACACAAGACACGTTGCAAGCAGTGAGGGTGGGTCCCATCCAAGCTACGAGTCAACTCCAGCAAAGTTGGTAGATCATCTTGCCTCACTGCTTCCTGTAAGTTGTCTCTTCTGCTAAAAAATAGCATTATCTGCAACAGCAAAGTGCCAAACATTTATTGATGAATTACTTCCCTAAAAATAATAAGATTATTAGATTTTTTGTTCACACACTACCCACCTTTTCAACCATGCTTCCTGTACCTGCTGATACCTCACTATTGTGACCTTCCAGATCTCTGTACCATGCATTCATGGTGTGTGTGTACCGTTTTAGGCGTTTGTTTGTTGCCATATCCCCACCTGCTGTATTTAGCACTTTACCAGGCAAGACAAATTCTGCTTGGTTTTCTGCCTGAAAAGCAGGATGACTTAATTAAGAACTATGCATGAACAACAATAATAATAATAATAATTATTTATGCAAGTGTATTCTGTTCCATTACTGTACTTATAGGCAATCACTGGTGTAGAGGTATTAGTACTGTAGTAAGCAGTGAGGTGATCCCTAGCCTCGAAGGTTGGAATCCGATAGAGTTAATAGCGATTTACAGGTTGAGGACCATTCAAGCTTTATCTTAATAATAATAATTAATAATAATAATAATGCACTGTATTTAAGAAAAGTACTGTACATGCGTACATGCATAGGGTACAAGAATAATGTAGCATTTTTAGTTAAGGCAGGTACTAAGCCTAAAACCACTAATATGCATTTTGACCATAATGTGGAAAAACTTAAAAGAACTAAAAGACTTTAAACTAATTATGAAAAAAATAAAATTTGAAGAAGGGAAAAGGAATTAAACTGACAATTATTACATGGTGATTGGAATAGCAAATATTGCAAAAGAATAACAGATAGTAACTTTCACAGAAGGCACACATTTTCAACATAGAACACATGGAATTGTTCAATTGTTGGTTCTATCATGTGCCATGTTTAAAATGATAAATACATAAATAGACTTGTGATTTTTTTGTTTATATTGGATGTAGGACTTCTGTTCTTTTCACATGGGAGGGGCGAGACAACCTGGGGCTGATGGGTAGAACAAATGCCGCAGTGGAACGAATCAGCCTCACCCCATATAGTTTGTTCAAGTGAGGACACACTGTAATTACCTAAGTAATTACCCAAGTGTAGTTACAGGATGAGAGCTACGCTCGTGTCCCATATTCCCAGTACTCTTTGTCGTATAACACTTTGAAGCTACTGACAGTTTTGGCCTACACCACCTCACTTAGCTTGTTCCAGCCGTCTACCACTGTCTGCAAAAGAAAACTTTCTAATGTTCCTTCAGCACCTTTGTTTTCTTAGCTTGAATCTGTGGCCTCTTGTTCGTGATTTTGCTGGTTTCAGGAATTCCTCCTTGTCAATTTGGTCAATTCCTGTTAGAATTTTGTATGTGATGATCATATCACCTCTTTCTTCTATCTTCTAATTTTGGCATGTTTAATGTCTAGTCTCTCCTCGTAACTCTTGTTTTTCAGTTCCGAAAGCCATTTTGTTGCATGCCACTGCACCTTTTCCAGTTTTTTTATGTGCTTCTTGAGATTTGGGCACCATACAACTGCTGCATATTCCAGTTTTGGTCTCACAAAAGTCATGAACAGTTTTAGTATTTCACCTTCCATATATGTAATAAAAAGCAAGTCTGAAGTTGGAAAGCAACACATACGCTCTTCTCACAATGTTCTTGGTGTGTTCTTCTGATGACAGCTTACTATCCACAACCTAGGTCTCGTTCTTCATTAGAGTTCTGTAATTCCATTCCACATAATTTGTTAGTTATGTGTGGTCTATTTTCTCCAAATCCACATTCCATAACACGGCATTTATTCACATTGAATTCCATTTGCCACTTTACGCTTCAAGCACTTATTTTATCTAGATCTATTTGAAGGGCATTACAATCATCTGCACCTCCTATCTTCCCCCAGTATCTTAGCATCATCCGCAAACATGTTCAAATATTTCTGTATTTGTTTTGGTAGATCACTTATGTAATTTATGAACATTACTGGTGCAAGAATTGAACCCTGTGGTACTCTGCTAGTAACACTCCTCCAGTATGTTCCAGGTTTCCAGAACAGCCTTTTGTGGGGGACTGTCAAAAGGCCTTTTTTTAAGGTCCAGATGAACACAATCAACCCACTATCTCTTTCCTGTGTTATCTCTGTGGCTCTTATCACAAAAACTAAGATTTGTTACACAGGATCTTCCTGTTTAAAAACCATACTGTTTGTCCATTAATTTCATTACTCTCTAGGTGTTCAACTCATTTGGCTTTAACTAATGTTTCTAGTGTTTTCACTACCCCCGCTTGTTAATGATATGGGTCTATAATTTAGTGGTTCCTCTCAACTACCATTTTTATAGATGGGTACCATGTTTACCTTTTTCCATATATCTGCTAAGATTCCTGAGCACAAGGATGTTTGGAATATTAAATGGAGTGGAATGTTCAGCCCAGTTGCACATTCTCTCAGTACCCGAGGTTAAACTCCATGTCCAACTGCTTTATTTCTTCCTAGCCCCTCAAGTAATTTTTTCCACTTCGTCTTGAGATACCTCTATGTATTCTATGGCTTGCTCTGGAATTGGTATTGGGTCCAGTTCTATGAAATCCTCATTTTGTACAAATACACTTTGGAACTGTTCATTTAGCATTTCACACATTACTTTTTCATTCTCAGTAGTCCTGTTCCCCATTCTCAATCTCTGGATTTTATCCTTTGCATGCAGCTTGCTTTTAATGAATTTATAGATAAGGCCTGGATAAGTTTTACATTTGCCTGCTATACCTTTCTCGAAGTTCCTTTTGGCCTCTCTCCTCACTGTTGTGTAATTGTTTCTTGTTTGTTTATAGTTCTGGTATGTTTGTGGGTTAGGTCTCTTCCTATATTGAACCTATTTTCTTGTCTTTTCCTCTTTGGCCCTCTCACAATTTATGTTGAACCAATCCTTTCTGGTCCTGCATCTCCGTTTTGGTATGAATATTTGTGCCTTCATAGTATATTTCCTAAAATTTGGCACACATCTCATTTACTTCTTTGCCTAGCAACAAGTTTGTCCAATTAAACTCATTAAAAAATTTCAAAGTTCCCTCATAGTGTCCTCTCTTGAAATTGAGTTTATCAACTGCTTTAATGTCCCCATTCTCTTCATATCACGAAGCATATTTAATGTCCAACAGGACATGATCACTCTTTCCCAAGGGAGGAAGGTACTGAATGTCAACTATCTCTTCTTTTTTCCTTGTGAATATTAGATCCAATACTGATGGAACATCACCTTATTGGTACCTGTACCTCTTTTCCCCGGTTCAGCTGTTGCTCCAGGTCCTGGCTCGCATGGAGATTTACCAGGGGAGAGTTGTCCTTCTGGCTCTTTGATGGCTGGCCCAGCCTTTGTTTCAGGCGCTGATTGCTCGGTGTCCGAACTCGAGGGTCTTTGCGGGGCTCCGCCTCTTTCAGCAGATTGGTCCAGCCTAGTATGAGGCTGGTTCAGTCTTCGAGTCTTCGCGTCTGGAGTTTCTGACTCTAGTCCATCACTTGTATGGGGCACAGGTGGCTTCGTTGTTGGTCTCCCACCTGTGTGCTTCATCTGCAGCGGCTGGAGGAGCCACTGCAGTTTGCGTTCGGTATTGATGTTACTTCTGCCCCGTTCCGCAATCTGTCTCGTGTGTTTCACTTCCGGCCTGCTCATGTGCCTCCTGAGCTGTCTCATGTGTTGTTTCACCTCCGGCCTGCTCATGCACCTCCTGAGCTGTCCTGGCCTTTGGACAGGGTGCTCTCTTTTCTCTCTTCTCCTCAGTTTGTTGTGGCCCCTTTGGTTCAGGATTGTTTTTCTAACGCTCTTTTCCTGTTGGCATTGGCCTCTGGGGGTGGGGTCGGGTCAGGGAGCTTCATGCACTCCTCTGGCGCAGGGGTTTTTGCTCCTTCGGTCCTGGTGGTAGGGTTGTTTGGTTGCAGCCGCTTCTTCCTTTTCTGGCGAAGAAAGAGTGCTGCTTTCCGAAGGGGTCCTTGGGTTGTTGATGCTTGGTAGGTCAGTGCATCATGTGTTGTGTCTGGTTGTTGCTCTCCGCCATTATTTGCGTGCCATGGCTTCGGTGGCCAGGGATGTGCTTTGGGTTGACCCGGTTTCCCTCCTTCCCTGTTCCCAGGCTCAGGTCTCAGGTCATCCGCAGGGTTATTAAGTCTAGCCAGCCTGTGGTCTAGACCCGTGACCACGATGTTTGTAAGTTTGCTGCTTTGGCAACATGTCTTGGGTCCACATTCAGGCACAGGGGTTTTTGGAGGTTCAAAAAGGGTCCTGGCCACTCGCTACCTTGTCACTGTCCCTGAACCTGGTAGGGCCTGCGTTGCATTGGGTCGGAGGTTGCAGCCAGTTCTCTTCTTCGCATTGAGGAGTGAGGACTGATTGCCTCCCAGACAAGTCCCTGTGTTTTTCCTTGTCTTTGAGTAGTTAGCTCCGGGGAGCCGACGTGGCTCTCCCCAGAAAACCAGTGTTGAATTTAATGAAACGCCATTTGCTGGTCAAGACCCAGAGGCTTCCCGGCATCCCTCTCTCCCTCCGGTTGGCGGTGTTTTTGCATGTTTTTGACATCCAGCCCAAGAACTGCCGGTTGGATCGCAGGGGTCTAGGACTCCCCCTTCCTCTCCCAGGGAGAAGGGGGGGAAGTTGCATAGACAGCGGCGCAGCAACCCGATGACGTTATGCTCTTTTCCTAATTTTCGTTGGGGAGTTCTATCTACTCATTCAGCTTTCAGTGGCAATATTTTCATCAGAATAGGGAATTGTTTTGAGGTGCCTATCTTTCTGGGTACCAGACCCAATCGATGGCAGACACAGAATGCTCTCAACCACACGGGGGTTTCTATAGGCCTTTGCTCCTCATGCCTATCTGAAGGGGCCAGATTTTGGCTCGTAGTCCCCGGTAGGCAAGAACTCCATGCACGTTGACTGATGCCAGAAAGTTATACAAATCCATATCAGCTGGATAGCTCCGGGGACCCTCTGGGTTTCACCCAGAAAATGGCGTTTCATTACATTCAATGCTGGTTTTTTTTAGCTCGAAAATCAGTATTTTTGCAAAAATTAATGTTGTATATAATTCCTACCAGAACTGTTCGGCGAACTCTTGATGGGCTTGGGTTCCGTAGAAAGTTCATGATGGAGGATATCAACTTCAATCTGGAGGTGATGTAACCGCCCATCTTTATAGGTTCCTCATCTCTGCCATCTCTATCCACACGTTGCTGAAGAATAAGGTTATTATTTTATGCTTACAATACTTAGTACAGTTGGCTTCATTCTCTACCTACAATCAGATATCCTGGGTTCAATTTCCAGGCAATATAGAAATGGTTGGGAACATTTCCTTTCATCTAATGCCTCTGTTCACCTAGCAGTAAACAGGTATCCAGAAGTTAAGAATCTTTTGGGGGTTGCATCCTGTGGAAGGTCAGCAGTTTGACCTTGCAGGGGTACCTTGATACAAGCCTAAAGTAAGTGAATGAGTGAGCGAGTACTCGCCTAGTTGTGCTTGCGGGGGTTAAGCTTTGTCTTTTTGGTCCCGCATCTCGCCAGTTAATCAACTGGTGTACAGATTCCTGAGCCTACTGGCCTATCATACCTACATCTGAAACTGTGTATGGAGTGTGAAACCTTTCTAGTGTGAAAAGTGATGTAAAATATTCATTTAGTGTGTTTGCTGTCCTTTTATCATCCATTATAGTTTGGTAAAGTCTCGTCTTTTAAGGGTCCTACCGAGATCTTTGTTTTTGTTTTACTTCTTATGTAGTCATAGAACGATTTTGTATCTTTCTTTATGTTTTGGGCAAGTTTTCTTCCACAGTTCCTTTTGGCTGATCTGATTTCCTGGGTGGCTGAGTTTAGTGCCCTTTTATATATCTCATCATCAATAATGTCTATCATGGATTTATACCAGATTTACCCAAGGGGCCACCAAGACTAGTGACCTCGATGAGGACAGGAAGCAGGCGGCTTGTCATAGGTCCCCCCATTTGCCTTTATCCTTTCTAGGTGGATTTTAGAACCTAACAATTTTGGCATTTGCGTCTTTGGCGGGTAGGCGGTTCTATGGGTTTATAACCCTGTGGGCTAAAAAGCATCTGTTCTCAGTCCTACATCAGATATGTGCTATACGTTCTCCAGAGGTTCTGCATAGTTATTAATGCTTGTTTTATTGCCCCAAGGTATCCATCTAGTTCTCCTTTTTGGCACATTTTTGAACAAGTTCCATGATGATGACCTTGAAGTTTTGATGACACTTAAATAAATAATAAATACATGTTTATTCAGGTAAAGTACATACATACAAGAGGTTTTACAAAAATTGATAGATTTATAGATAGAGCTAGTACATACAATGCCTAAAGCCACTTCCATGCTATGTTCACCAATTAGCTCTCTCCAGTTGTTTTATAGTTCCTCTAACACAGTCCGTGATAGTCTCCCCGATGGTAATCTAGAAATTCGTCTTCATTGACCTTTATGTAGGATTCTATACACTGTATTTGTATTCCATCTTAAAATATGATGATCACATGTGGAGGTTAGCTTTTTCCCCTACCTGAATTTGATCAATCATGCCCTCTTCTGATGTTAGCACAATATCTAGAATGCTGTTACCTTGTGTGAACTCCTGCACATGCTGTATGAGAAAAGGAGTCCTGTACCAAGTCTAGAAACTGTTCTTTTGCTTGTGATGTTAGATTTACCCAATCTATGGTCTCAGGGTTAAAATCCCGCCCCCCCATTATTATAGTTTGGGTTTCTGATGCTGCATTGATCACATTATGCAGATCAGTAACTTCCTCTGCTGCTGCTGTCAGCCCTGTAGCATACTCCCACTGTCATTTTGCTAACATCTTGAGCCAGTATGTATGAGCGAAGATGTACTCTCTGGAAAGAAGGCGAGAGGTATCAAATAATACTGTAAATGGAAGATACCGGAAGGGTTCAAGTCTCAAATCTGCACAGCAGAATAACAACATACTGGAGCAAAAGATGCGGAAGGAAATGTAAAATAGAACCAGTGAGGAGTAGAGTTGCCATAAGCACAATCAGAGAGCACTGTCTGAATATCAGTGGTCCACATATATTCAATACCCTCCAAACCAATTAGATAAGTTCTTGCAAGAAGCACCAGACCAATCAGGTTGTAGTGGATATGTGGGCCTACTGGCAACTGCAAGCAACAGCCTGTTGGACCAAGTTATCAAAAGTCGAGCCTGGACTCAGGCCGGGCTTGAGGAATAGAACAACTCCAGAGACCCTCTCCAGGTAAGATCCTGGTAAGATCCAGTTCTAGACCCAAAGGTTTGCAGTAACAATTGTAGACCCAAACTTTGCAGTAATATTTCATTAACAATTTCCACTCTGATATAGACTAATCCAGCTTGGCACTTTTTCCATACACCATTCTGTTTCCCTAACTTAAATAGGAGTGTCTTATGAGGAAAAGCATTGAAAACTTTCTTACAGTCAAGGAAGATCCAGATAATCCCTCTATCCTGTTTGGTTTATGTTATTATGATACTACAATTGTTAAATGAAACAAAATAAGATATAAGAGCTTAGTTACCCAAGATCTTAATCCAAGCACTTTAGGAAGTTTTATGAAGAAGTTCTCCAAGAAGGAAAAACCTCGAGGAGCAGTCTGGTAAACTTTTAGAAGCCTGTTCTGCTGTCCTGTTGTTTCTTCTGCATCATTTTGATGAACAAGTGTTGAGGGCTCATGATGATCCTGGGAAGGCTCTTTAGATAACTGATCTTTCTCAAGGTATGAAGTCAAATAGTATTCTTCATCCTCTTCCTCCAAGTGTATTTGTTCAGGCCAAAGTGACCTTCGTCGGCGGCCATTGTTCTGCAGCACATCCTGCCAGTATATAGAAGAATACTGAGAACCTTTTAAGGGAAATACAAATTGTCAATAATTTTTATCACTGTCATATCCTCCTTTGTGTGAATTCTGAGT